GGAAATGAAAGACAGGAAAACCATAAATGAAATAGAGATTTGACAAATAAAAGAAAGGTCGTAACAATTAAGAGTTTTTTAAAAATCAAAAACAACATACCTTTAGCTAGACTAAGAAAAGGAGGAGAAAAGGCTCAAATAACATTGAAACGAAAGGGCAGACATTGCAACTGATCATAAGAGAACGCAATGAACATTTATATGCCAACAAACTGAATAACTAGAAGAAATGAGTAAATTCTTAAACATAAAATATTAAGGTGGAATCATGAAGAAACAGTAAATATAAAAGAACAGTAACAAGGAGATTAGATCAGCAATCAAAAATGTCCCAATATAGAAAAGTCCAAGACTAGATGACTTTACCAGTGAATTCTATCAAACAAAGAAAAATTAATTCCAATCCTTATTAAACACTTCCAAATAAACAGGAGGAAACATTTCCAAAGGCCATAATTATCCTGTTTCCAAAGCCAAAGATGTCTCAAGAAAACAAACAAAGCCAATAAACCTCATAAACACATATGCAACAAAATTATATCAAGCCAAATTTAGCAGTACATTAAAAGGATCCTACATCATGACAAAATGGGATTTATAGTTCAACATAGGTAAATCAATAAATTTGACATACCACATTAGCAAAATGAAGGAGAAAAATCAAATGGGCATCTGAATAGATGCAGAAAAAGCATCTGATGAAATCCAACTGCTTTTCATTATAAAAATTCTCAACAAACTGGTGATAGAAAGAATACAGACTGGTATAATAAAGAACATATACAGTATGACAAGCCTACAGCTAACACATCAATGGTGAAAAGTTGAAAGTTCTTCCTATATGAAGGAACAACACAAGTATGCTTCCTTTTTCCACTTCTATGCAACACTGTATCAGAAGCCTTAGCCAAAGCAATTAGGCAGGAAAAGGAATTAAAAGGCATCCAAATTGGGAAGGGAGAATTAAAATTACCTCTGCAGTCATACTGACATAAACTGAAAACCCTAAAGTTCTAATCCTAAAACTGTTAAGAGTTAATAAATGAATCAAGCAAACATACAGTACACAAAATCAGCATACGAAAATGTTTTGTTTTTCTACACTAAAAATGAATTATCCAAAAAAGAAATTAACAACTGCACTTATAATAGCATAAAAAATACTAAAGAATAAACTTAACCAAGGAGGTAAAAAACCTTTACAGAGTGTGGGGAGCAGCCCGGACTGGACTGAGTTACTGGAATTAAGACTTATTCTATGCATCTGCTCTCCCACAATATGGCGCTGGGAGAGAAGTAAACAGCTTCCACACAGCTGCCTCCAGTTCAACCAATAAACTGTAGGACTTGCTACTGATTGGAGGAGAGCAGCGTACTCGGCGTGTGGGCAGCCGAGTTGGGATTGGCAGAGGAGGACTATAAAGGAGGAGAGAGACGGCATGCACCAGGAACATCTAAGGGGAACATCTATCTGAAGGAACACCTGTGCAGCCCCCGAGAAAGCCGGCCGGCGGTGTGCCGCTCCTCTGCGGAAGTGGGGAATGTGGTCTAGGGGGAACTGCTCTTCCACGGAGGAGGTGGGAAGGGAACAGTAGCCGGGAAGAATCAGCAGCAAACTCGGGGAGGGCCGAGCAGACGAAGAACAGCACAGGGTCCTGTGTCGTTCCTCCACGAGAGGGGGAGCGACATAATGGTGCCGTGACTCGGATAGGAAACCTAGGACGGATAGCAAACTTAGGAGGGAAGAAACGGGAAGAACTGGGAAAATATCGGAGAGAGAGACTAGCAAACAGCCTAGGGAAAATATCGGAAAGAGAGACTAGCAAACAGCCTAGGGAAAATATCGGAAAGAGAGACTAGCAAACAGCCTAGGGAAAAGCCGGACGAAAAAGGTGCCGGAAGAAGCTATTGAAAGCCTAGGCATAGACTCAGATACGGACTACGGACTACGGGGGGAAGCTGGGAGAAATCTCTAAGGTCGAAAGCGAAAGTGAAAGCTAGAACAAACAGACTCGGATGCGGACTGTGGGGAGAGGCCAGGAGAAATGAGGGAGGAGTATTGTTGGAGGAAAGCTTGGGGAAACATACCGGGTAGAGAAAAATGTTAGGGAAATTGAAGCCGCGGGGGGCAGGCCGAGGCGGAGACGAAAGCCACTTTGGGATTCTCAAGTTAGCCCGGGAATAGGGGGCGAAAAGTTGAAACCAGAAGCAGAAACGTAAGCCAGATTGGGATCCGTCTGATTAGCCCAGGGAGCAAAGGACGGGAAGCCAAATCGTGGGGCGGAGACGTGAGCTGGGTTGAATTCGCCAGGCTAGCCCGGGGAACTTGGATTGAATGCTAGTGGTGGAGACGTGAGCTGACGCTGTGTGACTCGCGGAGGCTGCCGTGCGCAGAGAGAGCGTGCGGGGCACAAGTAGATAGGGAACGCTGGGCTAAGTGCGAGACCGTGGAGTGTGCGCGCAAAGCCGAGCCGCGCAGATGAGAGAGACGCGGGCTGAAGCGGCTCAGCCGGAAAGCCGCCGAGAAATAGCCTCGGGGCGGGCGCCGGGAGGCCGCGGGGATAAGAGAAACAGAAGTTTAGAAGTAAAATGAGAGAAATAGGAATGCTGGAAGATAGAAGTAAAATGGGAGAAATAGGAATGCCCGGAGATAGAGAAATAGAGAAATAGAAAGGCCTCCCCTCAACATGGCAATGAGAAAGCTTGGATTCGGTCTGCCCGATTAGTGAGGCGATGAGCACCTGCGGCGGCTAGCAGCTTATGCGCTGCAGGTCACCGAAGACAGGCACGAATTAACATCAGAAAGGCCTCCCCACAATACTGCAATTAGAAGGCTTGGATTCGGTCTGCCTGATTAGGGAGGCGGTGAGCACCTGCGGGCGGCTAGCAGCTTATGCGCCGCAGGTCACCGAAGACAGGCACGTTATCAACACCAATAAGTCACCCCACAACATGGCAATGAGAAAGCTTGGATTCGGTCTGCCTGATTAGTAAGGCAGTAAGCACCAGCAAGCGGCTCGACCAGAGTGTGAGCCGCAGGTCACCGAACACAGGCACGCATCAGCGCCTAAAAACCTCCTCACAACATGGCGAAGAGAGGACCCAGATTCGGTTTGTCTGACTGATAGGACTTGTAAGAACCTGTGGCAACTCTAGCAAGTAGATCAGAGTGTGTGCCGCGGGACACCGAAGACAGGCGCGTATCAACGCCAAAAATAAAAAGAAAGGGGGATCTGTGGGGAGCAAACCGGACTAGACTGAGTTACTGGAATTAAGACTTATTCTATGCATCTGCTCTCCCACAATATGGCGCTGGGAGAGAAGTAAACAGCTTCTACCCAGCTGCCTCTCACCAACCAATAAACTGTAGGACTTGCTACTGATTGGAGGAGAGCAGCATACTCGGCGTGTGGGCAGCCGAGTTGGGATTGGCAGAGGAGGACTATAAAGGAGGAGAGAGACGGCATGCACCAGGAACATCTAAGGGGAACATCTATCTGAAGGAACACCTGTGCAGCCCCCGAGAAAGCCGGCCGGCGGTGTGCCGCTCCCCTGCGGAAGTGGGGAATGTGGCCAGGGGGAACTGCCCTTCCACGGAGGTGGAAGGGACAGTAGCCAACCCGGGAAGAACCAGCAGCAAACCCGGGGAGGGCCGAGCAGACGAAAGAACAGCGCAGGGTCTTGTGTCGTTCCTCCACGAAGAGGGGGAGCGACATAATGGTGCCGTGACTCGGATATGAAGCCTAGGCAGGGCTTGGTGTCGTTCCTCCACGAAGAGGGGGAGCGACACAGAGATACTGTAAATTGTTGCTGAGAAAAGATATATCACACACACATAATGAAAATACACTCTGTGTTCATGGATTGAGAGACTTAATATTGATAAAATGTTGCTAGCACTCAAAACGAAATACCAATGAAATTTTTAACAGATATAGTAAACACAACCTAAAAACTCATCTGGAAGCACAAAAGACCCCAAATAGCCAAAGTGATCCTGAAAACAATTTTGGAGGCATAACATTTCCTGATTTCAAAATTTACTACAAAGCTACATGATCAAATTGACTTTCTTCTTTTCTTTTTCTTTTTTTCTTTTTTTTTTTTTGACAGGCAGAGTGGATAGTGAGAGAGAGAGACAGAGAGAAAGGTCTTCCTTTGCCGTTGGTTCACCCTCCAATGGCTGCCGTGGCTGGCGCGCTGCGGCCGGCGCACCGCGCTGATCCGATGCAGGAGCCAGGAGCCAGGTGCTTTTCCTGGTCTCCCATGGGGTGCAGGGCCCAAGCACCTGGGCCATCCTCCACTGCACTCCCTGGCCACAGCAGAGGGCTGGCCTGGAAGAGGGGCAACCGGGACAGAATCCGGCTCCCCGACCGGGACTAGAACCCGGTGTGCTGGCGCCGCTAGGCGGAGGATTAGCCTATCAAATTGACTTTCTTTTGTAGAAACTTCTTACATTAACCTGGACCAGAGTGGATTCTGAAGTAGAAAGAAAATCCCTAGGGTTCTGTATTGGCACTGAGAACTCCCATTGCTTTGCCTATGCCTCAGTTAATTTGTATGCTTGAAATAACTGCAAACGCTTGAAGCTGACTAAGATCTCTGATCTGCGTCAGATTTGACAATCCAATCCTTTGTGTTACCCTACAAAGAAGCTGAGGTTAGAAGTGGTTGAATTACTTGCCGAAAGTCACACGCTAAAAAAATGTTGAACAGGGCTAGAAACCAAGTCTTAAATCAGACTTTGAAAATTGATATGTTCTAGTGTGATGAGAAATAAACAACAAAAAAGCAAATCATGGGCTGTGGAATTAGAGAGAGCTTTGCCTCCTGAAACCAATGAACTTGGGCAAAAATACTTCTAATATTAAAGTGTATTTCCTTACCTGTATAGTAACTCTCACATAAAATATAAAAGATATTCTAATGATAAGTACTACAGATAAGTATAACACAACATTTAGATACATTTTTAAAGAGTGACAAAAAATATTGCTTACTTTTTTCCTGTAATGCCTGCAACTTATTTAGCTCTTCATTCTCTTCATCACTATCTTCACTGCTTGTACTACTGACATCCAAAACGATGTCCCTTTTAGGGTCTACTCGGAGAAAATTGCGGCATTCAAAAGTCAGGTGACCAGCTAAGACAAACAAACAAACAAGTGAATGGCAAAATTATAGACACATTATGTATTACTTTCTTGTCTCATTGTAAGCAACAAGTTACAACTTGGTAATCAAATGTATAAGCATTAACTTTAATTCTTCTGTTGATAGTTTGGTTATTTTCCCTGTGTGTTTCCCTAAACACAATACTTTGAACTTTTTCCTTTCTTAATTATAACCTCTAACTCAACAACATTTTGGGGGCTACTTTTTATGGATCTGAGTATTGAATCATTATATTTTCCATTTCTAAAACTACAATAATATTTTAAACTAAGTAATTAAAACCCATACTTGCATACTTGGGATTTTATATTTTATTCCTTTCCCATACCTTTTCCTTCTCAGCTTTACTACTATATTCATGCAATTACATGGTCTTAAAGTTGCTGTTGTAACATACAAGCATTAATATCACTAAATGTGAATTTTCTAAAAGACACCTAAAATTTAAATTCTGGAATCATTCCCCTAAAGCTTCTTCCTATAAGAAAACTATGAGAATTATCTACTTACTATCTGTTGAAAATTTTTAAACAAGCGAATATTATAAAGATCAGAAAAGTACAGGAAATACGACCAACACCTAAATATCTATTAACCACATGATACCATTTTCTTTAACACCTTCCACTCTTTTAAGGGAAATTCTCATGCACGTGTGCAATTGCACATACACACACAAAGTTGGAGAGCTTGCATCACTTTCTGAAACCCTGCTAACAGCCTATTGTGTTCTTTCCGTCCTCAGAACTAACTAAATTGGTGTCTACCTTTCCCAAATGACGTATTGTATTATCTATTTTTTTTTTTTAAAATACAATTTTACCTGGTTTTCACCCTGCAACTTATTTCTGCCATTAAACATGTTTTGTAATTTATCCATCTGGGGGCTGGCGTTGTAGTGCAGTGGATTAAGCCGCTGCCTACAATGCTGGCATCCCATATGTAATTTATCTATATGAAGTAGACATAATTTTCATACTTCCTCTAGAAAGTACTCACAGTGTTCCACTGTATAAAAATCCCATTTATTTATCTTGCTACTGATTGAAACTTAGGTTGCTTTTAGTGTTTTGCTGTTACAAACAGTGCAGCTGTACATGTGTCTTGGTGCACACAACCAGATTTTCTCTAGGATAGCAGCTTTCAAATTTTCTTAACCATCACTGATCAATGGTAACAAATAATAATGCAACCAAGTGTACTCATACATTTATAAATACAACTTGACACACAAAATTGAAACAAAAGTTACACAAAACATTACTGCATTCATTGTTCAAAAAAACAAAACAGAGACCCCAGTGGAAAGAAGGGGCCACCAAAGAAGGATGTATTTTTTTCTGATGGGAGAAGATAACTTCCACTTTGCTTATGGCCCTGTCTAAATACTGACAGTTTGTGGACTCAAAAGGCCTCCATAGCCTTGGCAGCTCATGTCAAGAGCCTCAGGTGATCACTGACATCATAAATAAAGAGTGTCAATTGTTAAATCAACCACAGGAGTCACTGTGCACTTACTCCCCATGTAGGATCTCTGTCTTTAATGAGTTGTACTATAAGAATTAATGTCTTCAAACAGTACTTTATACTTTGTGTGTCTGTGTGGGTGTAAATTGTGGAAATCTTTACTTAGTATAGAGTTGGTCTTCTGTATATAAAGTTAATTAAAAATGAATCTTAATGAAGAATGGGATGGGAGAGGGAGTAGGAGGTGGAATGGGAGTGGGGAGGGGGAGGGCGAGTATCAGGGGAAGAACTGCTATATTCCTAAAGCTGTAACTATGAAATTTGTATTCATTAAATAAAAGCTTTTAAAAAAAAAAAAAAAAGAAAAAGAAAAAAAAAGATTCACCACAACTCTGTGTTAGGTTTGACTTCTAGTTCTCTCTTACTTGGAGGCTCAAGGGGAGGTCTACTTTTACACCAGAGAATTTCCTACCAGAGTCCCAATTTTGCCTGGGTAAGATCTGGATCTTGCTTTTATCCCACGCAGGAAAAGAGTTTAAAAAATCCTGGGTTCATCAAATACCCTCAAGGCTGAACTCTTAGAGCTTGTGTTTTCCTTCAAGGTTAATTCTCTGATTATTCTTTAATTCTTTCCTTCAAGTAAATTAATTAAACTACCTATTGTATACTTTTATACAAGTTTCTTAGCTATTTATAGGAGGGACTGTTTTTCCATATAATTGGCAACAAGTTTCCTCTATTATGATTTCCTTCCAAATGAGTCATTAAGAGGCACTCTTTTAAGTTCCAAAACACAGGAAGCTCTCATACTTGTTTGTATTGTTGATTTCTAAATTTATTATAAGACTGTTATCCAAGAATGGGGCTTGTATATCAGTTCTTTGGTATTTGTATATATTATATACAAACATATATACATATATATAACCTGCTGAAGAGAGCTCTCTTATTAAAATCTTTTCTAATTTTTCTGCTTAATATCTTCTGAGAGAAGTACTTAAATTATGCTATTACTGATTTGTCAAATTCTCCTTGTAATATAATTTTCACTGTATATTTTGAGATTACCTCAGTAAGTACATTCAAGAACATTACTATTTTATCTTTGTTGGGTTGACTGCTCTAGAATCTTTTCTTAGCCCTGGTACTGTTTTTAACTTAAAAATCTGAAATCAAAATTGATTGACTAGCACTCTTTCAGTTATTATTCATTGACTAATACGAAATTTCCATTGTTGTGAGTAAAACACCTGAATATCAGCAATATTCAACCTAATATCTCTCTGGTCTTTTCATCTATTCCTTTATTTTGAAGCGTTCTATGTAGTTTTTAGTTTTGCACAGTTTTATTAATGTTAAGACATAACCAGACTTGCTGGTTCACTCCCCAATAATCCACAAGGTGAGGGAGTAGACTGGGCTGAAGTCAGGAGCCAAGAACTCAGTCCAGGTCTCCTGTGTGGGTGGGAGAGACCCAGCTACGGAGTCATCACTGCTGCCTCCCAAGGCCCAGCTGAGCAGAGAGCTGAATGAAGTCAGCAACAGAGCAGGCATCAAACTCACACTCTCCCACGTGGGACAGGGCATCTTAACTGTGAGGCCAAACGCTGCTCCTTAGGCCCGTATTTCAAGTTGATTTCTTAGCATGGGAAAAATAGTACCTGCCTCACTGGAAGCAGTGTAGATTCACCCTCATACGTACACATATTTAAAAAGTATAAGCTTGTGTTACCAAACCCTGATTATTCTTTTTCTTCTTGTTGTTATTTTAAAGAGCCTCAACAGTGAGTGGACTTGTTCTCATCTCTGCCTCTGTCTTTCTGAGAAGTGCGGCTTTCCGCAGGGGGGCGCCACTCTACCAGGCAGCCACCCTTCAGGGCTCAGGGTCTCCCTCCACAGCTCTCAGGCCTGAGGCCTCCCTGCTGCAGCTATCTGCACCCTGCTCTGGCCTGGAGCTCCTCTTCATTTGCAGCACCAAGGGATTTCCCTTTCGGTCTTTTGAGAGAGGTTATTTTTCGCTATGATCACTGCCTTCCTCCAGCATCTTTGTGTTTGGAAAAGCAGAGGGGAGGGCTTTCTAGGACAGTTCAGCTTGCAATTTGGATCAGAATTCTTGAAGACACAATTTTTTCTTTATTCAAGTTAGCTTTATATCCAAAAGCCTCACATTGAAGGGATGTTTAAAAGAAGTAAAATGCTTAAATAATAGCTACATGGTAGCACACTGTGTCCCATACTCAATTTATCTTTACTTCCCCATCTTTGAAGAAACAAACTATGATGTACAGCAAATGCATTTCAGATGTGGGTCGCTCACAAAAGATGTGTGACAGCAATGAGCAGATCCATAAGCAAAGAAAAGGTGAGGACTCTAGTATCAATAGAGTAGCATCTGAAGTTAAAATGTTAACAGTGCAAGAATACTTCATTAAAAAAGTTCATGGAAGACAGAATAAAAAGATATGAACACTTTCCACAAACTCTGTCAAGTATCCTCATATTTAAGTATCTATCCTTATTTAAATTTTGCTGTTGTGACCAAATATCCAACCACCAAGTCTGTTTTGAACCTCTTTTAATCCTATTTTCTGAGAACTATCATAATTGAGACTACTATTCTGTGATCAAAGGCTTAGTGTTCTTTTTAGCATTTAAATGTTCAGAAGTTACCAACTTCAAAAAAATCTAATAAAAAATAATTATACAAATAATCCAATAATTCCTCTTAATTTTGCTAAGGAAATTCTACCGGGAAAAAAAGAGGCCCATGTAATTTAGTAACAGATTAATCCTTATCTTGAGACTTTTTTTTTTTAAGATTTTATTTATTTATTTAAGAGGTAGAGTTACAGACAGTGAGAGGGAGAAACAGAGAGAAAGGTCTGCTGTCTACCGGTTCATTCCCCAAACGGCCACAATGGCCAGAGCTGCGCCAATCCAAAGCCAGGAGCCAGGAGCCTCTTCTGGTCTCCCACACAGGTGCAGGGGCCCAAAGATTTGAGCCATCTTCCACTGCTTTCCGAGGCCATAGCAGACTGGACTGGAAGAGGAGCAATCCGGGACTAGAACCGGCCGGTGCCGCAGGCAGAGGATTAACCTACTGCGCCACAGTGCCAGCCCCTATCTTGAAATTTTTAACAACAATATACCCACTATTGCAACATATTCATCATAATGCCTTTTTCCATCAAGTCTTGAAATTTTTAAATTTTACAATCTAAGGCACAATCTATCTTCACAATATCACAGGGACAGTACTATTTGTAACTAAGAAAAATACCCATGTTTTGGGTACTTAATGCGGTCTTGTTGACCTTTGTCTTACCCTTACAAAAGCAATACAAAGATTCTGGCCCTCAAATATGAGTAAAAAAATAAGCCAGTTTTTAAAATGCACCGTTTATCAAAAGGCCTGTAGACTGTAAAGGTCTTCATCTAACAGCTATAGAAATACAAATTTAAAATGGAAAAGAAATACTGCTCTATTTTTTATAGAAGACAATTCAGAAATTGGTTAATAACTTAATAATTAAAACCAAGGGTTTAGGGGTCGGCACTGTGGCGCAGCAGGTTAAAGCCCTGGCCTGTAGTGCTGGCATCCCATGTGGGTGCCGGTTTGAGTCCTGGCTGCTCCACTTCAGATCCAGCTCTCTACTGCCTGGGAAAGCGGTGGAAGATGGCCTAAGTCCTTAGGCCCCAGCACCCGTGTGGGAGATCCGGAAGAAGCTCCTGGCTCCTAGCTCAGCTCAGCTCTGGCCATTGCAGCCATTTGGAGAGTGAATCAGTGGATGGAGGATCTCTCTCTCTCTCTGGCTCTACCTCTCTCTGTAACTCTGTCTTTCAAATAAATGAAATAAATCTTTAAAAAGAAAAGAAAAGAAAACAAAACAAAAACACAAGGATTTAAAAGACAAAGCAGAAAGAATTAAAATTGAAAAGGCTGCTAAAATTATTTGCTGACTTAGCTCCTCTGAAAAAATTCTACTTAAAAATTCCGATTCTCCCAAAAATTCCAATTACTGTAGATTCTTCCAATGTTATCCAAGATAAAACAACAATGAGGAGACTAGATCAACAATATTTTGTTTATAGAACATGAATGAACTGCTTTTCCAGAAGTTTTGGTTTAAAAGAAGTTCCAACTAGAAAACTATACTAGTAAAGAAACTTAGAAAAATCCATTCCAAAATTTTAAGTAAATGCAGTATTTCTATATACAGTAGTTCCTTAAGGCTTTCATAAAGAAATGAGACATGTAATTTAGCAATGACTGAAAGCAAGCAACACAGAAATAAATATATGAATTTGAAAACAAAAAATGATATCACTGTACTCATTTCTTGTATGCAAGTACACTCTTCTGTTTTCATGAATATGAGCCTAAGTGTATTTATTTACTTATTTGAAAGGCAGAGAGTTACAGAGAGAGGCAGAGAGAGAGAGAGAGAGAGGTCTTCCATGTGCTGGTTTACTCCCCATATGGCCTCAATGGCCGGAGCTATGCTGATCTGAAGCCAGGAGCCAGGAGCTTCTTCCAGGTCTCCCATGCGGGTGCAGGGGCCCAACAAGTTGGGCCATCTTCTACTGCTTTCCCAGGCCATAGCAGAGAGTTGGATCGAAAGTGGAGCAGCGGAGACTCAAAGTGGAGCCCAGATGGGATGCTGGCACTGCAGGTCAGGGCTTTACCCTGCTGTGCCAGAGCACCAACTCCCCAAGTGTATTTATACACCAAATTGTGCTGGTTGAACAAGCTTCCATCTCACCAGCATGTGACCTGTTCTCTTAGCATGCATTTACTACATCCTTTTCATGAAAACCTCTGCACTGAATGCTTTTTTAATCACAGGTTCTTGAAGGGAAACCTTTTTGTTACATCACTCTTACTTTGTTAAAAGTGTGTTATTAATCATCCAGGATAATCTGCCTGGTCTGCAAACAATTTAGACAGCACAACAAATGCCGCTGTTACCAGTGTTAGTAACGCTTTAGGAATTGTTACACTTAACTAGAGACATAATATTTATCTACAGTATAAAATTATAAATTTATAGTACTATTTATACATGCTTAAGTTTATCTTCTCATTCTATTATATTCATTATAATTAAGATTAATGGTTGTTTAAATTAAGTTTTTGGCCAGGAGCAGAAATTCTCACAATAATTACACCCTTGTAAAAGGGTAAATTAAAATTCTTCAGAAATAGTTTTCAGTGCCTTTACTTCTTTACCTAGTAGTATCTAAAAGGATAAAAAATAAAAAAAAATATTTATTTGAAAAATATATACTTCTGCCAAATTCCTGAAACTCCTATTAACCACCTGTACTTGCTGGTATCTATCACTGGGTTTAGAGCACGGAAGAAAAGGGAATATCTGGATCAACTGTAAACCTCAGCTTAAGGTTCGCAGACTTTGTGGAGGGTCCCTGAAGCCAGGAAGGTATGTCACATTCCCCAAAGAAGCAAAGATTCCAGTAAAAGCAACATACAAAATGTTAATCTTTGAAGCGTACTTACGGTAACCACATTTTTTACAGCCTGCTCTGACACTGTCCTTGTTGCAACCTGAAACACAATTGGATATTATTTTAGTAAATATATAAATAAAACCAAACATTTTATATTATGAAAACCCCAAGAATATAATTTATCTCTTTTAAAAAAATCCAAATCATGATTCATCTTAGTAATACTACTCAAATATTTGTTAGAAATCTATGGAAAATCCAATTTTCTCAATTTATTTGACAAATACTTCAAAAACATATATATTTTTTTCTAATTCAATAGAAATGCAGTATTATAGTCATGGGCAACAACATCTCAGGAATTCTACAACACTGATGAAGAAATGCCATGGTGCTCTGGCCTGCCCCTAAAATGTAAAATAATTAATATATATAAATGAACATTAGTGTTAACACATGCTTTTCTGGTTTAGAAGAAAAAAAATCAACCTTTCTTAAGGAAAATGGTGAAATTCCAGAAAATTCACTTTAATTGTTTGATATTTTAAGAAATATCTAAATTCAACACTCATATTTTGTCAAGAGAAAAGAAACTAGTTATCTACCTAATTCTGATGAATGTTTGCAAATATTCACAGTATCTCTACAATTATTAGTACATGTAGAAAATGTGGAAGATATAAATACAAGATGAAACAAATTAAAATTGATTTTTCACTGTATTAATATATACATAACATGAAATTTACCATCTTAACATTTTAAGTATAAAATTCTATCCTATTAAATTCATTCACAATGTTGTGCAACCATTAGCACTACCCATCTGCATGACTTTTCATTATCCCAAAGAGTAACTGTCCATTAAACACCAGCTCCTTCCTTCCCTCCAGTCCCTGATAATCTCTATTCTATTTTGTGCCTCTGTAAATTTCCCTCATAAATAGGAAAATCATTGTCCTTTGGCCCTTCTTTTCCTTAGCACAATGTTTTCTAGGTTCACTCATGTCACAGTATACATCAGAATTTTATTCCTGTTAATGACTCATAACATTCCATTATTTGCAAACATAGCTAAAATTAATTTTAACCTCCAATAGTGGTTTCAATCCACCAATGAGAGGCCCAGCATGCTACTATTCCATTTCTTTGATGCAAGGTATTTTCAAACAGGGTATCATCACAACCTAACGATATACTAATTTTATATAATATGAATAATATATTAAAATACATATAGTATTTCTATGACAGTGCTGCTTTTAAAAGAAAAAAATTTAAAACAGTTTAATGTTACAAACTTCAAACATTTTGTCCTCAATCTAAACTTTTTAAAAAATATACATTATTGAGCTCTTGTGCTCTAATACTTGCTAAATATTCTACCAATCCAACGAATATATTAGGAATAATTTCAGCATAATATGACTTTTATCCATGAAAAATACCTGGTAAATACACAAAATTGCATGCCACTGACCCGAGCCTCACAGGAATATAGAAAACCCACTTTCACACACTCAGAACATTTTCAGGGATGCCAACTCATCTCCCGTGTTGTGAACAGCACCCATCCACATGCAGCATTACAGCTTCAAACTGACTTCATACCGTCCTCCTGCCACCACCCCTTCATCACAATCACAAGCTGCAGCCCTTTAGAAACCTACTTCCACAGCAAATTCCAGGGCTTTTTGTAGGTAAAATGCCATATTTATCGGACTACTTATGCATTTTGAACACATTAACAGGTGTAAACCTACTGTATTTTTTTTTTTTTAAGATTTTATTATGTAGTTCAGAGGCAGAGTTAAAGAGAGGGAGAGAGAGAGAGAAAAACAGTGTAAGGAACTGGGTCAATCAGAAGCCGGGAGCCAGGAGCTTCTTCTGGGTACCCCACATGGGTGTAGGGGCCCAAGAACTTGGGCCATCTTCCACTGCTTTCCCAGGCCATAGCAGAGAGACGGATCAGAAGAGCAGCCAGGACACGAACTGGTGCCCATAGGGGATGCTGGCACTGCAGGTGGATACTTAGCCTATTACATCACAGCACCAGTCACAAAATTAATGGGCTATAATTTTATTTGTTTATTTTAAAAATATTTATTTATTTACTTGAAAGGCAGAGTTACAGAGAGGCAGAGGCGGAAAGAGAGAGAGAGGTCTTCCATCTGCTTTTTCACTCCCTGGATGCCCACAATGGTCAGAGCTGTATCAATCTGAAGGCAAGAGCCAGGAGCTTCTTCTGGGTCTCCTACGTGGGTGCAGAGGTCCAAGGACTTGGGATATCTTCCACTGATTTCCCAGGGTATAGCAGAGAGCTTGATTGGAAGTAGAGCAGCTAGGACTTGAACTGGTGCTCATATGGGATGCCTGTACCACAGGTGGCGGCTATACCCACTATGCCACAGTGCCAGCCCCTCGGCTATCATTTTAAATGTGTCACTGATGACAAATTTCCTTTCCTGTTTTGAGCACTGTGCCCCAGTCTCATTTTCACACACATCCTGTGGTGTTTTTTTTTTTTTAACTGCATCATGTAAGAACACATACATCACACTGTGTTAGAACTGTCAGTGGGATAAAATTAAGGCTCTTTCATTATGAAGATAACTGCATGCAGGAAAAATCCTACAGAGAATCCAGGTCAACATTAAGTCTGTTTCCATAGAAACTACAGATGCTGAATAACACTGAACAAAACTGTGCTAAACGCACCATTATTGTTCCCACAACAGACTAAAAACTCTTGTCATGGACAGATCCAAAATAATCTCTTCTCAATGTGTATTAGATTTGAACTTATTTGTTACAAAAGGCACTGATAAAACTCATCATTTAAGTATCCTAGAATGAAAAAAATAAGAAACTTTTCCTGGGTAGGACATCTTTAACAAAATTGAAGCTTTCACGTGAAAGGCAACTATAACAAGAACTCTGAATAAAATAACTTCATATCAGCTATTTCCTCACCAGTCCTTTGGTTAAATTAACATTTCAGCTTAATCTGTCTAATTTTCATGATCACCTGGCAGACTAAATGCTTCCACCTGGGGAACTGAATTCGAGGCAACTGACAACGCAGATTTTAGACAACTGACACAAGAAAGTTGAGAGTGTTAATTCATTTCACTGTCTGAATCAGTTTCTAGTGCCACTCGGGCCACTGGGCCCAGTGGCAGCAGCAGCAGTCCTAACCAGGTGAAGGCCTGTGCAGAATCCTGTATGTAGGTTCCCTTAGTCTTTTCTCTTTTTTGAGCCTAATGATCCAGGCTTTGGTTAGATGCACCGAGCTCCCTACTATCTTTCCTTTCCTGTTTAAATCAACCAGACCCTACCTGTTGTTTGGAAGAATCCTGCCAGCACAATGGTATCCAAAATCCATGTGAAACTGAATAGCTGGGCCGGCGCCGCGGCTCACTAGGCTAATCCTCTGCCTTGTGGTGCCGGCACACCAGGTTCTAGTCCCGGTTGGGGCGCCGGATTCTGTCCCGGTTGCCCCTCTTCCAGGCCAGCCCTCTGCTATGGCCCAGGAGTGCAGTGGAGGATGGCCCAAGTCCTTGGGCCCTGCACTCCATGGGAGACCAGGAGAAGCACCTGGCTCCTGGCTTCAGATCAGCGTGATGCGCCGGCCACAGCGCACCGGCCGCGGCGGTCATTGGAGGGTGAACCAACGGCAAAGGAAGACCTTTCTGTCTGTCTCTCTCTCTCACTGTCCACTCTGCCTGTCAAATAAATAAACAAACAAACAAACAAACAAACAGAATAGCAAGGCCATAATGTAAAGCCCTTACTCAGCTAAGTTATCCCTTACCCCAGCCCTCACTGTTCTTTGTTCCACTTCTTTATGAATTTTTCTAAGGTTGTGCAGAGTAATATAGCTGCTTCCCTTGAAGTTTTCCTTTCTAATCATGACCTTCAATTTAAAAAGCCTTAAATACTTATATATTTGACTACTTAAAAATATCTGAGTGGCAAAATACCTTAAAAGTAAACTCAAAAGACACACACACAAGGGGTAGGCATTTGGCCAAGAGGTTAAGATGCTCACATTCCAATCAGAGTTTGATTCCTGGCTCCAGGTCCCATTTCTAGCTTCTAGCAACACAGATCCTGGGAGGCAGCAGGTAATCACTAAAATAATTGGGTCTCTGCTTTCCATGTGGGAGACTTAGGTCAAGGTCTGGACTCCCGGCTCCAGCCCCAGGTCAGCCTGGAAGTTACAGGGATTTGGGGAGTGAACCAGCAGATGGGAGCTCTGTCTTTAAAAAAAAAAAAAAAAAAAAAAAAAAAAACAAATGAAAACTTAGGAGAAAATATTTGCAAATAATAGGACCAAGAAAGGACAATTATCCCTACTTTATAAAACCTGGCAAATTATTACAAAAAAGACAAACAGTAGAAAAAATGAGCAGAGAATCTGGACAGAAAATTCACAAAAAAGGAAACAGAAAGGACTAAACATATAGAGATGTTCACTCTTATCCTGGGAGTCCATTTGCAGTTAATGGTAGCAGAGATAGAAAAAGGTTGTAGATAGTATGGGACAGATAACCCTGTACATTGCTGTAGGAGTATAAATTAGTTGTAATACATGGAGACTTCAAAAAGTTCGTGGAAAATGGAATTAAAAGATAAGTTTATTTTGGTGCCAAAAAAAAAATCTATGCATATAAACAGTCTAAAAAAGCTTGTGAAAAATGCATATTATGAAAAAACTATGCATAGATTTCATTTTTTGCATCAAAATAAACACATCTCTTAATTGTATTTTATCAGGAATTTCTTTCTTTTTTTTTTTTTTTTTTAAGATTTATTTATTTGAAAGGCAGAGTTACCGAGAGGGAGAGGCAGAGAGAGAGATCTTCCACGCATTGGTTCACTCCTCAAACGGCTGTTAACAGCCGGAGCTGGGCTGATCCGAAGCCAGGAGCCAGCTGAGCTTCTTCCAGGTCTCCCATGTGGGTGCAGGGGCCCAAGGACTTGGGCCATCTTCCACTGCTTTCCTAGGCCATAGCAGGGAGCTGGATTGGAAGTGGAGCAGACAGGACTTGAACCAATGCCCATATGGGATGCTGGCATTGCAGACGGTGGCTTCAACCCACTGCCACAGCATCAGCCCTCAGGAATTTCTTGAAGTACTCCTGTACCATCTCTATGGAAAGCTAAGGGGCAAAATCTATCAAAACTATAAACATACATACTCTTATGATCCAGCAGTTTTACTTCTGTAAATTAATCCTCCTCATTCACCTGCACAACTATGAATTGACTTAGTACAAAGTTATTCACTAAAGTATAATTTTAATAGTAAAAGAGTAAAAATAATTTAAATATCAATAGAGGACTGGATATAGTTATCATGATACACTGCTATTTGTATAAAAGAAGGAAGATTTCATATACAGATACTCCTTGACATTAAGATATAGTTATGATAAATTTATGATAAGTTGAAAATATCATAAGTCAAAAATAAACTTAATACTCCTAGCCTACCAAACATGGCAGCTTAGAAACACTACTCTGTAGGGTACCAAAATGATTTCCCAACATGATCACTCAGCCGACTGGGAGCTGCAGCTAGGTGTGCACCCACATTGCAACAGAGTAGCATACCATACACTGCTAGCCAGGAAAAAGATCAAAATTCAAAGGAAGGTTTACACTGAATGCATCATCTGTTTTGCACCAATGCAAAGTTGAAAAACTGTACGCTGAAGCATCATAAGCTGAGTTCCTTCTGTTACTTAAAGAATGGAAAACTAAGCTAAGAGTGAGAAAAAGGTAAGAGATGTGTTACCACACACAGTTAGGTATCTTTAAAAATGAAAGGTGATTCAATTAATTGTTTTCAAAAACTTTCCTCAAACAAAACCCTAAGAAAAGTTATTTAAAAAATAGTTATTGTCATGTAAGCTTTCTCTGGCATAGAGCAATGACTGTATTTTTAAATTCTTCAGATAAGTTACATTGCAGATTTTAAATAAAGTTTTATTAACTGATGATTTTGGGAACAAATTTGAGAGGTTTCACTTCTTGTATCTGATGTACTAGCTTATGTAGGATAATACACTCATAGCTCTTAGACAAGACAGAATGTGTCAGGTGTTATAAAAGATACACATGGGCCAGCGCTGTGGCACAGTGGGTTGAAGCCCTGGCCTGCAGCACCGGCATCCCATATGGGCGCTGGTTTGAGTCCCGGCTGCTCCACTTCCGATCCAGCTCCCTGCTAGTGTGCCTGGGAAAGCAGTGGAGGATGGCCCAAGTCCTTGGACTCCTGTACCCATGTGGGAGACCTGGAAAAAGCTCCTGGTTCTTGGCTTCAGATAGGCTGAGCTCCGGCTGTTGAAGACATTTGGTGAGTGAACCAGGGGATGGAAGAACTCTCTCTCTGCTTCTACCTTTCTCTGTACCTCTTTCAAATAAATAAAATACACAGTTGCATTAATAAGCATGAAATGGTGGCAGGTAAGATGCTCAGCTCAGAAATTTGAAATGTCCTTCAGACAGGTATGGACAATAAAGGGAGGCCAATAACAAAGACATATAGGTGGAAAAACACAGGAGATGGTCAGAGGATAACTGGCCAAGTCAGAGTTTGCAAAACTGTAGGATGCATGGGAGGACTGCGACAGGAAAGGAAGAGTGACTTACTATGCTCAGAATACACCTCATTCTTGCAGAGGTGGGGGGCACTGTAATACTCTTTTTAAGATTTATTTATTTATTTGAAAGGCAGAGTTACAGAGAGGGAGATGAAGAATTTTAGGGAGGCAGAGAGAGAATCTTTCATCTACTGGTTCACTCCTCAAATAGAGGCAGAGAGAGAGAGAATCTTTGATCTGTTGGTTCACTCCTCAAATGGCTGTAAAGGCCAGGGCTGAGCCAGGCTGAAGCTAGAAGCCAGGAGCTTCTTTCAGTCTCCCACATGTGTATGGGGGTCCAAGTGCTTGGGTCCTCCTCTGCTGCTTTCTCAAGCACATTAGCAGGGAGCTGGATTGGAAGTGGAGCAGTTGGAACTTGAACTGGTGCGCATATAGGATGCTGGTGCTGCAGGCAGCAGCTTTACTTGCTATGCCACAGCACCAGCCCTACTTTGTAATTTTAACATTTTAGAAGTTTAAGGAACCTTAGCCATCAACTCACTTCATTATGAGGACAAGGAAAGTAAGCTTCAGAAAGGTTAGGTGGCTTGATGAGAACTGAAATCAGATGTAGTATAATTGAGAACACTTCTGTGACAAAAAGACATCATAGAATGTTAGAAAAATCTTTGTCTCTGATCAAAATGTTAACTTGGCCAAAGTAGACTTCATTGAAATGTTAACTTGGCTAAGTACACATCACTGAAAGAGAAACAACCCACCCCTGCCAAAATTTTTTTTGTGCCCAACTACAGGAGTAACACATACCGCCACTTGTGCAGGTCAAATCATTACAGAGAATGGTAAATAACTGACACGAATGTCAGAGCTAATTTGAACAACTCTGAATGAGAAAAAGGTTTTCAATGAAAGTAAATTTTACTCAAACATGTTCAAATGTCATTTCTCTAAGAACAGAGTCTAGGATTTTCCTAAGAGTCTACAAAATTTCATTGCATTACTTATCTAATGGCAAGCATAAGCTCATCCACTATGCTATGGAAAATCAACTGAAGCACATGACTATACAACAGACACGGCTAATTTTTGGTGTGGTTTTTGGAAAGCAGCCTCATTACTTTGTAGAGTTGTGCCTTAACAATAATCACTAACAGAACTATTCCCAAGAAACACCAAGCTGAATTCATTATACCTAAAAAAGAATAATACTTGTCCCCCTTGATGATCACCCTAAAAGGTTACACAGGGCCCTATTTCCCTTTAATCACTGGATCAATCACCCAAGAAATTATCTTAACATTTTCTGTATCTCTGTTTTCTAATGACACTGTATTATACTTTTACAGCACTGTCATGGCGATTATCGCAGTTTTTGCAGGGCTGAAACAGTCTGTCTATGTCTTGCCATCTAGCTTAATGGCACAATTTAAGGTTATTATACTTTGATGCATTATTTTGAATTGAAAGAAAGTTAACATATCTATACCACTGGTCTAAGTTAAAGGGAATTTCAACAGGGGCTTTGGAAAAAAAAACCACTTGATTGTCCTCTTAAGCGGCACATTTTCATTACCAGACTTAAGCTTTTATGAAGGCCTGGACTATGACATTGTGTCCCCCAGCATGCCTGTGCCACACAGGTGCTTAAAAAAGCCTGCTCAAGTAACGAAACAAGCGACTGACAACAGCCCAACTTTGGAAGCAGTCATATGATGCAAAGACCACTAAGGCTGACTTCCCTGACAGGATGTCACAGGGATCTATTGCACTGGCTTGTCATTTTTTCTCTGAGGGCCCCTTAGATGTTGACACTCCTCAGGTGTCAGTCACAAACCTTCCCTCATGCCCTGCACACTACATGAGCAGTCATCGCCTCCCATGGCTTTACCTCCCGATATATGTGTGGATGACATCCAAATCGTCTTTGATTCTGACTTCTTTCCTGAGCTACAAATTGTATCTTAGTATTAAGTATTTTCATTCCAATGTCTGATTAACCTCAGGTAGAAACTGATGTGACTGTCATTCCCCTACACCCTGCTGGGTGTGAGATGTTGCTTCAATCAGCAAACATCCCACCCACTGCCTGACACTGAAACCCAGGGAAACCCTCTGACCTCTTCAACCCACCCACATTTAACCAATCACAAATTCTTAGTGACTCTACCACCGAAAATACATCTTTAACCTATCTGCTTCTCTCATTCCTCACTGAGACCATATCTTTGTCAGGCATCATCCGAGCTTACCAGGATGATTTCAAACTGGTGGCTTTGACTCCAAACTGGCTTTCCTCCAATTTGCTGGATAGCCAGACTGTTCTTTCCAAAATGTGACTCTGCTCAAAAGCCCTTAAATTGCCTCCTACTGTGTGTAGGATAGTGTTCAAGCTTCTTGTCATGGGTTACAAGGCTCTTTAAGAGTTGGAAACTATTGCCAGCGCCGCGGCTCACTAGGCTAATCCTCTGCCTTGTGGTGCCGGCACACCGGGTTCTAGTCCCAGTCGGGGCGCCGGATTCTGTCCCGGTTGCTCCTCTTCCAGGCCAGCTCTCTGCTGTGGCCCAGGAGTGCAGTGGAGGATGGCCCAGGTGCTTGGGCCCTGCACCCCAAGGGAGACCAGGAGAAGCACCTGGCTCCTGCCTTCGGATCAGCGCGGTGCACCGGCCACGGTGGCCATTGGAGAGTGAACCAACGGCAAAGGAAGACCTTTCTCTCTGTCTCTCTCTCTCACTGTCCACTCTGTCAAAAAAAAAAAAAAAAAAAAAGGAGTTGGAAACTATATTGTAAGTTTTAATCGCCTAGCAAATGGAATAGTGCAGAGGGTCCAGACTGGCCTGTCATTGTTAGCTATCTCATAATAGGCAAGATATTTGACTTCTCTAACCCTCAGTTTCCTTGTCTGTAAGACAGGAATATTAACCCGACTCACCGTGTGGCTCTGACTGTTAAATGAGACAAAATACCAACGTTTGACACAGTATCTGATACATTTGACACATAGTAAACACTCAGAACACATTAGCTATGGTTGATTTCTTCCTCTTGTGTCCTGACTTCTTTCCATAGCAAACATCTTTGCTTTCTTCTTTCCACATATTTCTTCTTCCTTTATCGATCCAATCCTGACTACAATCTCCCCTCTTCCCACTCTAGCCCTCTTACAAACCTCTAGGCTTCTCCTTAAACACCACATCCTCTGGAAATTCCTTTTGGCCTTCCCTGTACCCTGTTTGGTGGCCTTTCCACGTGTTTCCTAAGGCCTTGATTTTAATTTGTCACAGCACTGTTCCCACTTTCTGTACATTTCTCTCTCTTGTAAGTTGTGTGAAGAGCAGCTCTCTTTGTTTACCACTGAATTCCCAGTGCTTAGCCGAGAATCTGGCGTGCAGTAGGCACTTAATAGCGCCCGTTTCCTCTCTCACAACTCCGGAAGTGCTCGCCCCCAAACTGCAGTTGGTAGAGAAGCACTTGCAATCCCCCAAGAGCTGTCTTTAGAATAAGGTTCAGAAAAGGCAGCCGCACAACAACGAATGAGGTCAAATAATGGGCGGGAAGCGCAGGTTTAAATAAGTTGGGGTTCTGAGTCCGAGGACTGTGCAAAATCTTTTTGCACTGTGAATCTGCTGCAGAGCACCTGGGTAAGGCCGATTGACGGCGAAGCCGGTCCTTGCTAGAACCTCCAACAAGCGGGTAGGTGCGGAGCAGGGCATCTCACAAGCACTTCCTCCCCAGGGCCTACCGTCTGGGGCTCAGTGACCTCTGGACACAGAGCTGAGAGCTAGAAGGAACCTCAGATCCAACAGCGCTACTTCTTTGCAGTTAAGGAAACTGAGGCCGAGAAAGTCCAGGCCTGAAGTCTCAGGCCACACAGCAGCGGCGTGCAACCGAGTAGAACCCCGCACGCCCGCTTCATCCCAGTGCCAGCAATGCCTCTGGCTACCCGGACCCTCCAGGAGCTCACACTTCCGATTTCACTTTAAGCCATACCGAAGTCGAGGCAGGGTTTTCTCGGGCGCCCGCCAGCTGGGGCCTACAGTTAGTCACTGCCCTTCCTTCTTCCCTCCCGTCCACAACACACTTCCCCTGTCATCCCGGGCGACTGGGGCTCGGCTAGGGGACGAGGTTTCCTGCCTTCGGAGCTGTCGTGTAAACTTTCCCGGGTGAGCCAGCCAGACCGGTTCATTTCAGGGCCGCCAGCTAAAGGCCCTCTGCTCTCCTCCCCAGCTCACCGCCCTCTACCCTGCCCCACCGCTCCCTTCCTCGCTCGGACGCACGCGTCCTCCTGTTAGGCTTCACCTGGGACTGCCATGACGCTGGTATAAAGGGTCGCCGGAGCCTTCAGCTGTCGAGAAAGCGTCTGCTTCCCGCCCGCTGCGGGGACAAAGTTCAGCAAAAGCGGCCGCCTCTCACTCGCTCCGAGGCACCTTCGCGACAGGCAGGGAAGGCCCTATAAGCCTCTAGCGATAGCGGAACCAAGAAGCTGCGGATGCAGTTTCCGGGCGAGTCATAGTGCATACTCCACCTGGTCTGAACCATTGCGGCTAGCTTTTGGGGGGGTGAGTGTGACTTGCACACGATTATGGTGCAACAGACACTATCAAGATTTACGGAGAGTTCCTTTTAATAGTGATACAACAATTTACAATTTATATCAAGCCAGTGAAGCTTTAGGATATTTTTATCATTCCGTTGACGATATCGGACTTCCCTTTCTCTGAGTTAGCGGTGGTCTGGTCTAGGAGGAACATGGCGGCGTCCGTGAGAGGCTAGTTTTGGGTGAAAGTAGTGCTTGGTGTTAATTGTCTTGCGTGATACTGACCAACTGAAGCTTTCCCAGGCCATCTAACTTAAGGAAGCGTGTAATGAAAAAAGAACAGCTTTAGGAACCAGCCGTCCGCTCGCATCCCCAGTAAAGAACAGAGCCCTGAGCACTGACCAGCATGAGCAACATCTACATCCAGGAGCCTCCCACGAACGGGAAGGTGAGCATCTTACCTGGTATTATCACCTGGTCTCCCTAAACTGAGACCTCCCAGGTTCGGTGAGTCCAAGGACCTTCCGGTTGGCAGAAACCACGAGATGTGTTGTCCACGGACAGTGTTGCGTAGAGAACACCGAAGTTGTCACTTCTCAGCATGCACTTGGAAAAAATGCTTAACTGGAGGTTTCTCTAACAGCCTCTGACCTTATTTCTTGTGTTAACCCAACTCAGGCTGGGGTTTTCCAGGATCTTAGGTTTGCTAAAGTACATTTTTTAGTGTGACATATTCTTTGTTTGACTTGGACAGCGTTAATTCTCCGTTCTTTGTACGCCTTGCCTGTTAGGCGCCAGGCACTGTACTCGGTACTGGTAATAGAAAGATGGACGAGGGCTAGTTGTTGCCCAGGAAAAGCTTATAATTTAGGTTGAGGGACAAGAAGGTAAAGAAAAACTTTATGCTGTGTCTGTTTGTGGAGAGGAGAGGTAGGTCTGTTTGTGGAGAGGAGAGCATATTGTCATGGCAATGCTGAAGAGTGAGCAACTAAGAAAGTTTTGAAAAACCTTGTAGACAAAGTATCTTTTGAGCTGGTCTTATAATGTGAGATACTGTCAGACAGAGTGGAGAATGGGAGATGTTACCACATTAGAATGGGAGAATGATTCTCTAGTTTGGTGGTCAAGATAGGGAAATCCCCATCCAAGGTATTTGTGTACAGTATGAGACAGAGGAGTTAATCCTGGGATAACTGTCTTCTGAATTCTTGAACTGAGACCTAGTCCATATCACATATGGAATGTGATGAACTAAATAAATGGTGGGATTGAAACTATATAATTGAATTAGGATAAATAAATTTACATAAAATATGATTCTGTTGCATGCTTGTATCAAATTATTTATACAATCTTTTTTTCCCTGACATTTGGTAAGGTGAATTTTAGTGGGCATTTTGGGCAGAATTAGTCTTGCAGTTCCTTGCTGTTTGAACTTTCCCAGGCATTGTAGCTTAGCATCCCCATCCCACTCGCCACCTTCATCCACTTTCCCACCCTTTCTCTACCTCAGTGTGAAAACCCCAACTACCTACCTTCTCATATTTTCAAATGTTTCTTGAATGCACTGTCGCTCTCAGTTGATAAACACTGGTAAGGATCCAGTAGGTTGCTCATCTGGTTTGCTGTTTTACCTCTTACGTATGTCATCCTTGGTAAGGTAGTCTTTCTCCTTTTCTGTGAAATAGCAGATCTCAGCCATGCCCTGCATCCCATCATTTTCTGACTCCCTTAATGTCTAGGTTTTTTCCTATAGTATTTATTATGTATTTATTTATTATATCCTCCCCACTGCTCTCCCCCCATAGCCTGTAAAAACCATGAGGGTGGAGTCAAGCATCTAAAATAGTGTTTGACACATGGTAGAAGGAGTTCAAGTATTTGCTGGCTGGCTGGATGAATTAATGCTGGTGTTTCTCTTAGCTTCTGAGATGTATTAAGCATCAGTGAGTTGGAGTTTATACTGCTGCTAGTCGAGCCAGACTTGGTTGCTTTATTCTAGAGAAAAGTTTGACAAGATCATGTAGATGAAAAGCTTTCGCAAGGATACATTCCGGAGTAGGAGATCATTCATTCTATGCATATTTATCAAGCACCTAGCTCTTGCCAGGCTCTCTGCTATGTTTTCAAGATACAGTGGAAAGAAAAACAGCAACATCCTCATTTTTTGGAATCACTTGAATGAAATAATCAGGCAAATAAATATGTAATTACAAGTTGTGATGAATGTTGTTTTTCTTCTGAATGGAAAAGGGCTGATGGAGAACATGAAACAGCCCAAGGCCTCCTCCAAAACCGGTTTGAGACTTCTTCCAGCGTAAGGCTGATTTAAGACATTGCAGCTTCAAAGTTCTGTACTGCAAAAAGCATGGCAAGAGTTTTGGCCTGGAAATAATTTAAAGCAGCTATAATAACAAGTCTGCTGAATGAATGTTTGCTTAATTATTTACTGTTTAGTGGTATGTAGTTTCTGAAAGGATGCATAGATATTTGGAATCATTAGAACAAAAGTCTTCCCTTCTAAAAGTATGGTATCATTTTGGGAAATAACTGACACACGACATCAGTGGTGGTCCATATGTATTCACTGTGTTATGCTGTGGCCCTGACTCCTGAAGACTATGCATAGAAATATAGTACTAGCTGGAACTTTTCATAAGCATTAAAAAAACTCACTGAAGATAAAATTTCCATATACTATTATCACTTAATCTAAATTAAGTGTAATGTATGTATTCTTAAGAAGCATGATATTTTGGAAGTATTTCTTTTTATGGGAGCTTTAAGCAAAAGAGCTGCAAGTGTCAACAATGTAGTGATGGCCCAAGGGAATGCATGCTGAAGGATGAATGAACCATGTACTTTATTAGTGAAAAGATTAAGAAACTCTGGCAAGCTAGGTGGCCAAAACATACAAGCAATCTTTTCAGTAGGTAAAAGTTTCCTGTAGCCAGAAACAATTATGTAAGAATAATAGTTCTAGTAATGGCTACCATCTTTTGAGCACTTATTATCTGTCAGGTACTATTTTTTTTTTTTTTTGACAGGCAGAGTGGACAGTGAGAGAGAGACAGAGAGAAAGGTATTGGGAGAAAATCTACATCTGTTTGTATTTTTTTCTTTTTTAAAATTATTTTTAAAGATTTAATTTTTATATGAAAGGCAGAGTTACAGAGAGAGGGAGAGGCAGAGAGAGATTTCTCCCATGCATTGGTTCACTCCCCAGATAGCCATAGCTATGCCATGCCAAAGTCAGGAGCCTGGAGTTGATTTCCTCTGGGTCTCCCATATGGGTTTCAGGGGCCCAAACACTTGGGGGCCATCTTCACTACTTTCTCAGGCCATTAGCAGGGAACTGGATCAGAAGTGGAGCAGCTGGGATTCAAACTGGTGCCCAGGCGGCCTAGCCTGCTATGCAGCAACACTAGCCTATCTCTCTTTTTTTTTTAAGATTTATTTTTTTATGTATGATCTGCTATCTACTGGTTCATTACCCTGATGGCTGCAACCACTGGAGCTGGGTCAGGCTGGAGCCAGGAGCCAGGAGCTTCTTCTAGGCCTCCCACATTGGTGACAGGGTACCAAACATTTGGACCATCTTCTGCTGGGAAAACCCAGGCTATTAGCAAGGAGCTGGATGGGAAGTAGAGCAACTGGAACTTGAACCAGTGCCCATATGGGATGCTGGCATCGCAGGCAGCAGTTTAACCCACTTTGCTGTAACATTGGTTTTGTTTTCACCTTTATTTATTTGAGTACCAATTTTATGTTTAAAAAGTGACATGTAAAGTCAATTACTTAGTTACTTTTTTTGTATTATGATGTAATTTTTGTTGTTTATTTGAAAGGCAGAGAGAGAGATCTCTCATCTGCTGTTTCACTCTGCAGATGCCTTCAACAGCCAGTGCTGGGCCAGGGCAAAGTCAGGAATTGGGAACTCAGTGCTGATCTTGATGGGTGGCAGGAACCCAACTACTTGAGCCATTCTCCTATTGCCTCCCAGGGTGTACATTAGCCAGAAGCTGGAATTGGGTGCTTAACTAGGACTCAAACCCAGGCACTCTGACATGAGACATGGACATTTCAAGCAGTGTATTAACAATTATGCTGAATGCCTGCCCTGTTATTTGTTTTAATACTGGCTAAGTGGATTTGCAGACCATGGTATCAACATCAACTTATCTGGGGCCAGCGTGGTGGTGTATGTGCTGCTGACATCCCATATGGGCACCGTTTTGTGAACCAGCTCTTCCACTTTGATCAAGCTCCCCGTTAATGGCCTGGGAAAGCAGTGAAAGATGGCCAGAGTGTTTGGGTCCCTGCCTCCCAGGTGAAAGACCCAGTAGAAGCTCCTGGTTGCTGGCTTCAGTCTGGCCCAGTCACTGGCTGTTGCAACCATCAGGGGAGTGAACCAGCAGATGGAAGATCTCTCTCTCTCTCTCTCTCTCCCCCTCGCTATCTGTTTGAAGGATTCTGTCTTTAAAAACAATTAAACCAGTTCTCACAAATTTCATATTGAAGGTAATATTAATGATGTGAACATAAGCAAACTATAGGAAAGTGATAGAGCTAATGCCTCAGCATGAACTAATGTTAAAAATTATTACAAAGGTAGTTTCTAATATGGATTTCCATTTATTATTATTCATTGTGAACTTTGTCCGAATACTCACATATAGTGTGTCTTGAAATACTTACCAGAGCATAAAGTTGTGATTTTCAAGATATTTAAAAACTTAGGTGTACAGAATAAAAAGAGTTCTATAATTTGAAAGCAACATACTAAGTGAAAGAAGCCAGGCACAAAAGGCCACAGATTGTATGTTTTCATGTATATGAAATGTGCAAAAGGCACATTCATGCAGACAGAATGTGGTTTAGTGGTTACCAAGGGGTAAGGATAAAGGGAAATGGAGAGTGACTGCTAATAGGTACAGGATTTCTTTTTAGGTGAAATGTTTTGGAATTAAATGGTAGTGATGATTACACAGCTCTTAGATGTACTGGATTATACATCTCAATAAAGCTGTTATAAAAAAAGATTTGGTGTACTATTAATAAATAACACAATTAAAATAAGAATTATTTAAAAATAGCTCTATGTAATCTTATAAAATTCTTATTTTATGTGATTCTTTTATAAAATACATACTAGAGTAATATAGTATTATATGTATTTAAATTTGTATATTCGGGGTGTGTGCTCTAATCCCATCTAATACTCCACCCATTGCCTTGTTTTCCTCTTTTTGCTATAGAGGTGTGTACTTACAAATGTTTGGAAATCATTACTTTAGGGATGCAGTAAGAGAATGCATGTCTAGGCTTCCTTTAACAGTAGTGCTGTATTGCAATTATTGAAGGGGATAATGTAGTAGAATAGGACCTTGTCTTTTTAGAAGTATTCTAAGATTGGGATATATATCCAGCTTCATGGAAAATCAGAAGACATGGCATGGCATTGTTCTAGATGCATCCTGACCTGGAGGGAATTATCCAGCCTCTCAGTTTGTATCCCAAATGTATTCATCCTAGGCCTGGAAGAATCATGTTGGATTGGTTTGTTATCATTGCTTTTGTTGTAGGCATTGTTTTGTATTCACATCTGTTGTGTCTAGGGCAACATAAGGATTTCTTTTGAGAAAGGCCCTAGAGCTTGAGGAATATTTTTTCTCGTATAGTATGGTATATGTGGAGAACTTTGTAGAGGCTTTATGATAATAGAGAAAAAGAATAGATTTTGTAGCTAGGCAGCTTTTGTTTCAAGTCATATACTGTGAGACCGTGGATGAAGCTACTTTGTCAGTTTTTTCATAAGTGGACTAATGAGAACTACTTTTTAGGTAAAGCATTTTATAATTCTGTAAGAGTTAAGGAAACCATTTGAAAATTGACCACAGACTGTTTTCAGCTATTCCACCTCCATGGTTGTTGAAGGGGGTGGTTCTAGGATGACTGTATAACTGGTAAAAGCTCCAAAAGATGTTATGAATTCACTGATGTTATATAAATTTATGGTAGTATTATCTGGGCTTCAGAAACTAACATAGAAAGTTGTATAGTAAAAATGCACTGGACTAGGAGGGAAGTTGAAATGCTGTTCCTGCTTTGCTGATAACAAATTTTCTGTCTGAAGCCAATTTACAGCTCCCCCAAGGAATCCATAAAAGGTAGGAACTTAATTGAATGGTTTTTAAGCTTCCTGTAGTTGCTAAATAAGTATATTTGTGGATATTTGGAAAATAAGAAAAGTGACTTATATTAATGATACTGATTTTCCCTGGGAATCAGTCTCATGTTTTAAGTGATTGCACTGTATACTCTTTGTAATCATTAGAAATTATTTACATTGATCTACTTTGGTGAAAGTAGGGGTGAAAAACAAAAAGCCATATTGGACAAATCAGACCCTGCTTGTACCAGAGTGTTCAATTTAGAGCCTAACATTCTTTTTGGTTAGTGTGGTTGTTAATAAAACTATAAGCTATTTCCTCCTGTGGGCTCTGTAGGAGTTTTGATTGTTGCAAGATGGCTGTTTCCACCAAGAAGTAACCACTCTCAGGAGCTGATGGAATGAGGCTGGCAAAGGATTCTATTTATGACATGCCATTTTAGTCAGTCATAACCCAGAAATGTATTAAGAATACTTTGAGAGGGAGGGGAAGGAGAGAGAAAAAAAGAACACTCCTTTGTAGACTAGGAAGAGCAGGATTTTAAACGAGAAGGTAGAGTCAAAGGGTCATTGTGAAATCGTCTTGATATCCTCATTTAATGGGCTCATTGGTCTTTAATTTCTTTTTTTAAAATTAGTTCATTAACTGAAAAGCAGTTACACAGAGGGAGAGACAGACAGAGATTTTCCTTCTGCGGGTTTGCTCCTTACGTGGCCACAACTGCCAGGATTGGTCAGGTCAGAGCTGGGAGCCAAGAGTTTCTTCTGGGTCACTTAAATGGGTGAAGGGGCCCAAGTCCTTCTACCATCTTCCTCTGCTTTCCCAGGTACATTAACAGGGAGCTATATCAGAACTGGATCAATAGAGACTCAAGCCAGCACCTATATAGGATGTTGGTCACAGGCAGCAGCTTAACCCACTACACCACAACACTGGCCCTGGTCTTTAATTTCTTAATTTGGTTCACCAATTTTATTAGAAGTGATATAGTGGGAAACTGAATTATAATGAATTTGCATCATGGTTTTAAATGAGAATTTTTTTCAATGATTAAAAAGCATATATACTATTTTTTAAGTCCTAAACTTTTTCTGAAACTGTTATGTTGAAAGATCTAAATGTACAGTGAACTGTGGTGACATTTTCTTTGTGTAATTTTCTTTAATGCAATAACAAAAGCCAAGCAAAATTTATAAAATTTCTTTCAAAAAATTTCTTTTGAAAACTCGTTAGCAACTGCTAGAAGTTGAGCAGCCATTCAACTTTAGTTAAAGCAAATGGTAATTTAAATTAATGATATAATATTCTTTCTACAGGTCTTATTGAAAACTACAGCCGGAGATATTGACATAGAGTTGTGGTCCAAAGAAGCTCCTAAAGCTTGCAGAAATTTTATTCAGCTTTGTTTGGAAGGTAATCATTAATACTTGAGTTTTATTCTTTAAGGGAAACTTTGGCTTATGTCTAAATGAAATGGATAAGTTTTTCACAACACTGAACACTAGTCTTAAATACTGGAATGAGTGATCAGCCTTGATATGAGTATTGTGAGATTAATCTGTGTGTCAGGAAATAAAGAGAAGTGAAGCTTCCCCCCAAATTACACCCTTTATTTAATAGAGAAATTTATCTCAACAAATCATGCTTGATCATTCTTGACCTCCTCTGCTTTCTTCCAGTTCTTTCTTTTGTTCTTTAAATACAGACGTTCCCTAAGATTTCTGCTATTTCTCTATGGTTTTCACTCTCCAATTGTTACTTCTATCCAAATGACTATAAAGTTTACCATTATGGACATTTCTTTTCTTTTTCATATTAGTTTACAAATCTATTTGCTGGGTAGAATTTTCTACTGAGACCCTCCATCATTGGCTACAACTAAACCAGTATAAAACCAAGTTTACCCGTTTCTTCTCCAGACTGCCTTGTCTGTAATTGACTCTTACCAGATTGTCCTCTTTCACCTTTAGTTTCTTTTCCCTCTTATTTATTCATCTGGTATTTGAATTGTCATGCCTGAGGATGGCTTGACTTCTTATCTTCCCAACTTTATTTCTCTTTGTACTAACCACATACTTTCAGTAGATCATTACTTTATTTCTTGGAGATTTCCGTTTTCATAGACAGCCTCATTCTGGTTCTCTTTTTTTGGGGGGTGGAGGGACATGTTTTCTCTATTTTATTGTTGAAGTCTACATATTTTTTATTGTCTTCAAAATTCTACTTTCTCCACAAAGCCTTTTATGCAGCATTTAGTGATATTATCATCAGTACCTCTGGTTCTTTTTTTTTTTTTAATTTAAGTCAGAAAGTGACTGTTTTTCCTTTTTTTTTTTTTTTTTAAAAAAAAAACTGTCATTATGTATCAGCTGAATGTTTTTCCCTTCAGAATATTCTCTTAGGGAACCAAACTTTCCAAACACTTTTAGAGCTTCTTGTTGGCTTCTAGAATACATTGCTTATGATTTTAAATCTTTTCAGTGATGGCAGATCATTATCATTCTAACTTATATCTGATTTTTAGAAACTTTCAATGTTACTCAGAGTATCAGAAAAAAGCATTTTGGGTTAGACACTAAGTGTGAAAGATTATCCAAAATATCAGTATTAGGGCATGTCAAGAACTCTCCGAATAGCTAATGAGACAAATAGATAATTACTAGGGAAATATTTAAGGCATAAAAAATAACCAGCCCCCCCTAAAAAAAAACCTGCCAAAAAATTCAGTAGAAAAAAAACATCTGCAAAGACTATTATTAATAATTGCTATGGCAGGCAGGAAGGAAATAGAATCAGACAGGTAGTTCAATCAGAGAGGCCTCAAATAACTGTCAACAAAGCTGAGAAACACAGGAGACAGAAAAGTCAGACTCATTTCTGGTAAGAAGTTTGAAGAATTAAAAGCTCAAGTTTTACAGGAGGAGAGTGAAATTACAGAACCATTTTCAGGAATGAATGCTGGATTGCAGTCCATGGCCAGGTGAATGGGAGAAACAGAAGATATCTGGATATGATATGACAATGAAGAAAACAATGAGGTTTTTAAATTGGATGATGATGAAGCCCAATTACAACAACAAAAAATTATTCTCTATTTTTATGAATACAAATAAAAAGAAAAAAGATTAGAAAAACAACCAGAATAGTTTTCTTAACTGCACAGGTTATCACTAGACAGGACAATAAGAAGGCTGAGACAACTGGTTTAAATAAAGATACTCTTTTTTTTTTTTTTATTTTTTGACAGGCAGAGTGGACAGTGAGAGAGAGAGACAGAGAGAAAGGTCTTCCTTTTGCCGTTGGTTCACCCTCCAATGGCCGCCGCGGCCAGCGCGCTGTGGCCGGCGCACCGCACTGATCCGATGGCAGGAGCCAGGATCCAGGTGCTTTTCCTGGTCTCCCATGGGGTGCAGGGCCCAAGCACCTGGGCCATCCTCCACTGCACTCCCTGGCCACAGCAGAGAGCTGGCCTGGAAGAGGGGCAACCGGGACAGAATCCGGCGCCCCGACCGGGACTAGAACCCGGTGTGCCGGCGCCGCTAGGCGGAGGATTAGCCTAGTGAGCCGCGGCGCCGGCCTATAAAGATACTCTTAAATGAGTAAGATCAATATTTCAAGAAGATAATGCAGAGAACTTCATTTCAATTTTTTGATTCTATGATTTCAAAAAGTTATACTATTTCTAGATTGTGTAGTACTTATGTCAATATAAAAAAAGCACATGGTTTCAAGAATTTAAAGGCAAATGAATATAAACATTGAAGTAGTGGGAGCACAGCGTCAAATATAACCCTTAACTAAAATGGTGTTCACATTTGAAATGAAGTCCATAGCCTTTACAAAACCAGCAGATCTTTGTCACACAGAATTAGTCTTGGATTTTAGGTCTCTGCTGCAGTTAAGTGAATATTTAAAGTAGGTGCAAACTTTTTCAAATTGTCAATTTAAAAAGCAGGGGAAGAAGTTATAAGGGTAGGCAAGGGAAGCTCATTAACTTTGGGAATTTCATTAGTTCCTCTGAAATGTGAGCAAGAAATAAAATTACTTTATGCACTATTAATCTCTTCACCACTATGTTACTGTAGGCTTGTCTCTCATGGTCTATCCTTCATCAGTTATTGTTTGTCCCCTACCTCTTTGACAATAGTTTATTAATTCTATAAAAATGAGAAACATAAATATATGTTACTATATTATAAAAATATTTGTTTAAAAATTTGAGAAAAGCTGAAGTAAATAGTAACTGATCAGAAAATGAGTTTTAGGTAAAAAATTATCATAATAATAAAGTACAAAATTAAATACAAAACAAGATCCTAGAAGAAGGAACATATTTATGATCTAAAAATACAAATATACATTCCTATACTTGTATCTCTTTGGGCTGGAAATATGATTAATCAAAATATATCATAATCAGAAATTAAGACTGTAATGACAGATACTAGAGTCAAATAATAATCATACAGGAACTTCATATCATATATGAGTTATTTTTGAATCTCTTTTTTAAATAGTGTGGAACATTCAGAAAGATACTTTGGACATGCATGATGAAGGAATAAATCCTCTTTAAAATACTTACAGGAACAAGGCATACATTTTTAAGAAATAAACATTACAAACAGCAAAATCTCTTAGAGCAAACTATAAAGACCATTAAAAATGCAAAACTTAACAGTGATTATTAGCAAATTTCAGAGAAGTGGAAATAGTAGGTATGGAAAATTTATGAAAACCAAGAAGTCCAGCCGTGACAGAATACATAATTATAAAGATTATATACAATTTTTACTCATTTTTCTATATAGTATTATAATAAATTCACACATCCAACAATTAGGAAAATCATGAAAACTTATCAGCCAACATTACTGAGACACTTAACAGCAAATAGGATAAAGGAATAGAATGGTGTGATTTTAGAATTTGTGAATACAAGTATTAAAGATTTCTTTCATGTCCCCATGAAGGGGACTTCCCTCACATGCAATATATATATAGGACTTTAAAACGTTCATAGAAAATTCACAGTATCTTCTTTTCCCATTTCCCATTAGCTTTTGGAAGTTCTCTCATATGTCTGGTTCTTATATATCCTATTTCCTAAAGAGTTCTTGAATCTGTGCATCTCAAGATAAACCATAGTCATGTTTTGACTCTTGAGAATTTCTCCTTCTCTCTCTCTCTCTCTCTCTCTCCATTACTCCCTCTCCCTTTTCCCCCTCCCCACCCCTATCTTATCTCCTTCCAGGGCATTCTGTATGATGGGAGTTGGAGTGATCTTTTATAAAAAAAATCTCATCAGGTGCTTACAGAATGTTGAGTGACTTCTTATCATGGAGCTAATGGAATATTTTCATTGTATGAAATATACCAGAGTATATTTTCTATTTGAATTTGAATTCGTAGAATTTGAATGAAAATATTAAAGATTAACCCATATTTGTGTTGAACTTGAAATTTTATAATTCCTTTCATATTTAATATTTTGAGTGACACTGTAATAATAATTTATATTCTTAGTTTTATAAACAGAAAATTTTGTGTAAGGTTGTACAGCTAGCAAGAGGCAAGACTTAGAACTTCCTTTTAGACTTTTGGTTTTTACAGTTTCTGTCTGTAACAAGAAGGTGCTTGTCTTCCCTGGGGAGCACTCCTGAATGAATGTGGCCCAGTAGCTCTTCCCCTGGGTGAAGGGACTAAAAAAAAATCATCTGGTATTCCAATTCCACTTCTAGTACACTATGTACTGGATGCAGTTGTCTTATCATAGATTACTTTTTTAAAAATACAAATGTTATATGGTTTTACTTTGCAAATTAAATAATTATTAGAGTGCTTGCAAACCATTATAATAAGTATTTTATGAATTATGTCTGTAATTGTGTGCAGTACAGTGCCTAACTCAATAGGTACTTGATAGATATGTTTCACTGGATTTGTTAACTTGTATTCAGTTGCAAATAATAGAAGACTCAACTCAAAATGACTTAAAAAAAAAAAGAAAGACATTTTTCAGCATGTAGGGTAAGAAATCTAGTGGTAGACATTGCTGCTGCTCCGTGGAGTCTTCAGGAAACTCTGCTCTTGCTCTTTCTATTCTGCAACCCTCAGCATATGATTGAGTCATGACTGCAGTGAATACTTGGCCCCAACTCAGCCTACTTTGTTGCTGCTTGATTGTTGTTTATTGTACAACAACAATAATAGTTTTAATTTGTTCGCTGTTTCCTTTGGGGCTAGGTATATTCATGTATTTTCCTCTTGTACTTACCTGTCTAACTAATAAAACTAACTTCAATGAGAAATAAATGATTTCTTTCCTTCCACTTATTGGATTTTTAAAAAAAAAAAAACTGAGATAAAATTTATGTGACATAAAGCTTACCATTTTAAAGTATACAGTTCAGGAGCCAGCATTATAGCATACTGGGTAAAGCTGCTGCCTGTGATGCTGGCATCCCTTATGGGCGCTGGTTCATGTCTCGATGTTCCACTTCCAATATAGTTCCCTGCTAATGGTTTGGTAAAGCAGCAGAAGATGGCCCAAGTATTTGGGCCCCTGTCACTCACGCGGGAGACCCAGATGAAGCTCCTGGCTCCTGGCTTTGGCCTGGCTGTTGTGGCTACTTAGGTTGTGAATGAATGGATAGAAGGCCTCTCTCTCTGTGTCTCCCTCTCACTCTGTAATTCTGACTTTCAAATAAATCAATAAGTCTTAAAAATAAATAATAAAGTATGCACTTCAGTGGCGTTTAGGACATGTACTATGTTGTGCAACCTGCACTTCTGTGTAATTGCAAAATATTTTCCAAAAGAAGACTCTACCCATTAAGCAGCTACTCCCTTTTCTCTCCCCTCCAAATCCCCTGTCTCTGAAAACCACCAGCTTGTTTTCCATCTCTATGGATTTACCTGTTCTGGCTATTTCATATAAATGGAATCATACAGTCTGTGACCTTTTGTATTTGACTTCTTTCTCTTAACATGTTTTTGAGCTTCATTCATGCAGCATTTTTTATTACTTCCTCCCCCTTTATGTCTGAATATTATTCCCTAGTATGTTTATATCACATTTTATTTACCCATTTATCTGTTGATAGACATTTGAGTTGTTTCCACCTGTTGGCTGTTGTGAATACTGCTGCTATGAACATTTTTATGCAAGTGTTGAAGTGCTTGTTTTCATACTTTTTTATATATGTATACAATTATTGTACTTACATTTCTCTGATGACTACTGATGTTGACTATCTTTTCATATACATATTGGTGCTACTTTTTAATATGAACTCTCGTATTCAGTCAAACTCGAGTTCTTGCTCCCCACCAAATTCTTTGCTTCACTGAGATGCCATGCTTTCTGCCATATCCAAGTTAACTTCTTTCTTCTCTATCAAGACTTCCTAATGATTCTAGAGTCCAGATACTCATACTACAGGAGATCATATATAACCTATCCTGTATGTTTATGACTTCTAAATTGTATATTTATATATAAATGTAAATAATTTCATTAATTTAGCAAACAGATTTGTAGTCTAATTGGACTCACATATATATTATGTACCTTGTTTAGTAAAAGTTTCTTGTGGAGAGTGCATTGATGGTGGTAGACCTACAATCTGAATAATTTTGATATATTGTGTGTTTGTTTGTTGTTTGCATATTAATGAATTAATTCTCCACGGAGTGAAGAAAAGAAGTAGGAAATAAGAAAAGCAGGAAACTGGATCAGCAACAAAGTAGCCAGGGCTCAAACTGGCACTCCCATAAGAGGTTCAGACACCCCACACAGTGGCTGAACCTACTGCACCATAATGCCTGCCTCTCTGATATTTCTAACAATTTCTTTTATAACTATTTTCTTAAATTCAGGATTCAATAAAATATCACAGATTTCATTTGCTTGATATGTCCCTAGTTGTTGTTGTTGTTTTAAATATTTATTTATTTATTTGAGAGGCAGAGTAACAGAGAGGGAGAGGCAGAGAGAGAGAGAAGTCTTCCATCTGCTCATTCACTCCCCAGTTGGCTACAGCTGCTGGAGCTGGGCTCATCCCAAGCCAGGAGCCAGGAGCTTCTTCCAGGTCTCCCACATGGGTGCAGGGGCCCAAGGACTTGGGCCGTCTTCTACTGCTTTCCCAGGCCATAGCAGAGAGCTGGATTGGAAGTGGAGCAGTCGGGACTTGAACTGGTGCCCATATGGGATACCGACACTGCAGACGGCAGCTTTACCTGCTATGGCACAGTGCCAGCCCTGATATTTTTTAAGAAATAGGAAAAATAAAGTATTGGTTTGGGAGCTGAAGAAAACCAATCTTGGATCAAGTTGTATATTAGCTCTGACAATGGTAGATGGGCTTGATTTTAGATATTGCTAAATTATTTTTGGTTTTTTTTTTTCAGCTTATTATGACAACACCATTTTTCATAGAGTTGTACCTGGTTTTATAGTTCAAGGAGGAGATCCTACTGGCACAGGGACTGGTGGAGAGTCTATCTATGGAGCCCCATTCAAGGCAAGTGAGCTTGGAATGCTTACTCAAAAACGATGTGTCCCTTAAGAAAAAAAATTCCAAAAAGAAATGTTAGTATGCAAAATCAATGTCTGTCACATATTTAAGATTACACAGCATAAGAACAACACTTTTCCCATCAAGCATTCTTTGTAAGTTGTCTTAATGTAAGATTTTATACTAGAATTAATTCAGGGGGAACTCAAGGCGGTAGTGAAAAAGACATGGTTCAGAATAAAGATAGAGTATTTCCTGATGTCTGTCTGTATTGAATATCTGCAGCTCTGTAAATGAAAGCATTTTTTAAACACTGCATATGCTATTCTACTTTAAGTTTTATGTAAACAGTATCTGGAATCTGTAGTAGACTGCTCATCCTGCTATCACCAAATACCAGGCTGGATGGCTTCAACAGTAGGGTTTGTTTCTCATGGTTCTGAGGCTGAGAAGATCAAGCAGTGGTTCCCGGTCAGGTCTGTTTTTCTGGCTTGCAGATGACTGCCTTCTCTGACATCCTCACAGTGGAGAAGGGAAAGAGAAGTCTGGAATCCCTTATTTTTATAAGGACGCAAGCATTATTGGACTAGGGGCCCATCCTTATGACATTGTTTTAACCTTTATTACCTCCTCACGGACCAAAATATAAGTGACATTGTGGGCTAGGAGCTCAGTGTATGAATTTGGGGGTTACACAATTCAGCTCACAGAAGAATATATTCTAAATCATGCACAATAGATCTCGCGGCACAAAATGCACACCACAATTGAAAAATCACAACAGGAAAAGCAACATAAAAAGTGTTAGAAAAAGATACATTAGGAATAGGTCAGTGATTTCTTAACTACCAACAAATCTTAGAAGAACAATGAGGTAATGTCATAGTTAAGATAGAAAGAACTGTGTGTTCAAGTGAAAACTAAAATTTGTGTTCATTATTAACCTGCTGGTACCTATATCATGTTCTTTGAATGAATGAACATCAAAAGCTCTTAGAATTTAGAAGTTTTTGAAAACTTCATATTTCTGTTAATGGGGTAGAATGTCTGGAGTTTCCTTTCTTCTCTGAGTTACTGTGTGAGTCTTCAGAAAAATACTTTATGAATTGTTTGCTTTAATTTCCAGATGATAATGGCCTTAGGAAATAGGAAATGATTATGAAAAAATTTAGATGTCAAGTTAGCCTATTTATATTTACCAAAGTAAAATGACTCATAGTTTTAGAGCCTCTGTCTAGTAGGAAGCATTCCTTTATTCTAGTATTTGGTGTAACAGAATAGCTTTTTTTACAATTCCTTTCTGATTAATTTTTTGCTTTTTTATTTTCATATACTACAATTATTTTGTTAAATTTTTATGTTAGGTAATTTAAAATACAGTATATAGAGTAATGATTCATTGAATTCAGATCTCTTTGAGAATTAACTTATTAAGGAAAAATAACTTCATTTATGACAAGCAGTGATTACATTCATGGCTACATTATACATAATGCAAAATCAGGTCTGGATGGAAATTCTGTGTACTCAATCTTAGCCAAAAGGCCCAGAACCAGTGGATATTCTGTAAACAAAGTGGCTTATGTATGTGTTAAGTAACCCTATCATGCAAGATAACCATCTTAGAAAGGCTTGCTCCTGCCCTTTCGGAAACTAGCAGATTGGACCAATGCCAGTTCAGAGAAGATTCAGCTTAGAACTTCAGTGAAGTCACAGTGAAATCATTTAACATAATCAGAATAAATTCCTTTAATTAAAAAATGAGAAGAAAGCAATTGTTTTACGACATTTATAATGAGATGATGACTATTACCTGAAGACTCTGCAATGACTCAACATTGTTTTCTTGAAGAAAAAAAAGATTTTAAAAGCTTGGATGGTTTTGAGGGATAATAACAGGGAAGTGAATCTTAGAAATCTACTCCCAAATGAATACCCTTCCCCTGCATGTTAGTAGACAGCTTTCCACAAAATATGCTGATCTGTGGCTGAGTATGTCTAGAATATACTTATAGGTTAGTGATTTCTAGTTTAAGTGCATTAAAAGTATAAATATTAGACTTGATTACACTTAAAAGTCAGTTAAATTAAACTTATCATTTTTGTTAGTATTTTGAGATTTTGTTAGTATTTTGAGATCTTACTGGTCAGGTAAATAATCAATTGAATTTGAAATATCTTATAACTGAGAACATTCTCTAAATATTTTTTGTACCTCAGGATGAATTTCACTCTCGGTTGCGTTTTAATAGGAGAGGACTGGTTGCCATGGCAAATGCTGGTCCTCATGATAATGGCAGTCAATTTTTCTTTACTTTGGGTCGAGCAGATGAACTTAATAATAAACACACCATCTTTGGAAAGGTTAGTGTCTACTTATCTTAAATTTACAGTTTGGTCTTTGGTTTTATGTTATTCGTTAATCTGTGATATATATATATATATATGATTAACTTATCTAAGAGCTTCCTTTATAAAAGTATTTCTGGAATATTTAGTTTATATATTATATATATGTGTGTGTGTATATATAGATAGATAGATAGATATAGATTTTATTTTTTTAATTTGAGAGACAGAGTTACAGACAGATAAAGGGAAAGACAGAGAGAAAGGTCTTCCATCCGCTGGTTCACTTTCCCAATGGTTGCAACAGTCTGCTCTAAGCCGATCCAAAGCCAGAAGCCAGGAGTTTTTTCTGGGTCCTCAATGTGGGTGCAGGGGTCCAATCACTTGGACCATCTTCCACTGCTTTCCCAGGCCATAATAGCAGAGAGCTGCATCAGAAGAAGAGCAGCTGGACACAGCTGCTTTCTTTAAAGCTATGGTCTTTCTTTAAAGCTATGGTAATGGTATTAGTTACTACTATGCCATTCAGCCAATATTGTTCTTACAGTTTTAGAAAGACCCTTAGGTAATTCCATTGAGCACTTTAAAGTTTATCTTGCTAAGGATGAATTAGTGGAAGTTGTGCTGACACTGACATACAGGAGATGCAAGTGCCTATTTAATCCCATTTGCATTCATTGTCATAGCAGGGAGTGCTGTTTCTATAGAATTTTCAACAGTTCTCTTTAATGATGGATTTTTTTTCCTCATTCATCTCTCTTCTCAAATGTATTCCTATATGAGTATATTTGAAGTCTTAGTTTTAGGCATATGAGACATCACTAGTGTATCAGCCCCCTCTGCTGGTCCAGTAAAAACTGTTTCTCCCGGATCCTTGGTAAAACTGGATTTTGTGATGATGAAAGGGAAAAAAACAACTTGGTACAATTGGAAAATCTGTTGTATTTATAAAATTTTGGAAATGCTGAATGAAAATAACATTAAAATCATGAAAAATCAATGTAATTGCTCCATACTTAACAACATGGGTTAGGGTATCTGTACAGGCACGTTCTTTTGAACCACTCCTAAGCAGGTTGTATGTTATTCATAGATTTCCTCTTTTCCTCCATTATTTTTAAAATATAAGAGTGTATAAAAAGTGGGATTTAAGTAGCCATTTTCTACCATTTTTTACAATTGATGTAACCGACACACTAGAGACAACATATAGCATATTAGAAGCTGGAAAAGCAATCACTGTTGGCTCTAACGCTTCTTTGAGATTCAATTTCTTCATTTGCATAAGGAGATAATGATAGTTCCTAGTTGAAGGATATTTATGAGTTTTAAATGAGGAAATATCTACAAAGCACTTACGTTATTATTGATATTATTTGTTTTTTTTCTGTGCTAGATTCTAAATTTGTTTTTGATGTTTGAATGAAAAGTTATTATTCAGTTAGAAGTTGTTTGGCATTGTATTTTTATTTTAGTAAAAACTGACGCTAACTATATTTTGGACATTTCCCAAAAAACTTATTGCGGGGTAGAACTCCATCTATTGCTTTTCCCTTGAGATGAAGCTGCTTTATTTGTATTACTTAAAACATATGCTGTTAGGTAATACTATGAAATTCCCTATTAATTATTTTAAAAATCTTTTCAAATATTCCTTTTAATTGAAAAATTGAATACAATAATTTGAAATTACATTTTATACTTTTATTTGATAGGTTACAGGGGATACAGTGTATAACATGTTGCGACTGACAGAAGTAGATATTGATGATGATGAAAGACCACGGAACCCACACAAAATAAAAAGTTCTGAGGTAGGGAATATAATTATTATGAGATATAGCACTTAACTTGTTATTTAAGAGGGATTGGTTATTAGTATTTTTAAACTATTAGATGAAGAGTTTTTACCAAATTAACCTCACAACTCAGATTTTATCTCTATTTATGCTCAAGTTCTGATGAAGAATATTTTAAATTAAAGGTTTAGAATTCAAAGATGAAACTTTAGCTGAAAATCCAGTGATTAAAAAGCTTAACTCTGAATAGAAACTTAGAGGAATTAGCCTGAAGAAATGACTTCATAGGTAATTGAAGAGTGACTGTTCATTGCGTCAGAAAGATTCTTATGAAGGTCAAAACACTTCACTTTGTTACTTTACGTATCATTTAAGTTTTCTTAAGTATTTTTTCCTTTTGTAAATGGAAATAAAATACAGTATCACTTACTTAATAGATAAAGGATTATTAGGAGAATCCAATGAGGCGACATAAGTGATGTATATATATATATATCACTATACTAATAACATTTATGTGGGAAGAAAACTACAGACACCGATGTCAGTGACAGTAAATATTGGTTTTCCTCTTTTGTGAAATTAAAACAATGAAATAATGTTTTTAAACTATTTCTTTTCATAGGTTTTGTTTAATCCATTTGATGACATCATTCCAAGGGAAATTAAAAAGCCAAAAAAAGAGAAACCAGAGGAGGAAGTAAAGAAACTGAAACCTAAAGGCACAAAGTAATCATAGTAGAAAGATTTTTCTTCAATTTGAAAAGCAACTCTATTTCACTTGGTTTATTTTATTTCTCTTTATAATAATTATTTTCTAGAAAGGGAAAGACTAGTTTGAATGAAGAAGATGTGGTTATTGTCAGGGTGTTATTTTTCCTAAAGATGAAATTATGCCATCTCATATGTCTATATGAAACCTATGTTAATAAATAAATATTTTATCCTCATTCAGTTATACAAATGAATTGAAAAACTCTAGTTTGGCTTTTTAAAAATTAATACATATAGTCACTCAGTATGAAGTATTTGGAAAGTAGAGAAAAGTATAAAGAATATTTTTAAAGACTGTTACTTCCATCCCTTATTTTTGGTGCTATTAAAATAATATTTTAATAAACATTTTAAAACATAAAATTTTCATTTAATATTCTAGATTATTTGCTTAAGGTAGTCTGCAAAACAATAAGAACTTTTAAAATGAATTTCAGTATTTTGTGATAAGAATCTTTACATTATTACTACTATCTATATTAGTAAAATAGTAAGAGTTGGAGTTCAGTTTTCTCTTTACTGAATTGTAGCATCCTTATTAGGGATTTTATTGTATTTATAAATGTTAGAGTCAGACAATTCTATATATAATCCTGACCAACACAGTTAATGAGAAGCAAAGTTTATTTTCCTGAAATTCATTGCCTTATCTTACAAAAGGAAGATTCTAATAAGTACAACACCTGATTGTCTTGAAGATTAACTCATAGGGGCTATGTGGAAACATCAAATAGTGTAGATATTCAATACATATTAGTTTATTTCCTGGATATTCTATCAGACATCAGCTAGATACTTTAATAAACAGTTGATGCTTCATGGCAAAATAACTTATTATTTAAGTAAAGCTTATGTATTTGATTTCCTTTTATTTCTTGATTCATTCATTTTGACTAATTTATCTGTGGATGAAAAGTCACTGTCACTATATTCTTATGTGGCATTCATCAGTTTGATTTATCTTGACAGTAAGCTCAAAGTTAGTTTTTTTGGTGTGTTTTCTTTTCATCCACAGAAAGTATATTAGGGATGTTTGGTAGCCATTGCTTGCATCTAGGTTTTGGGAAAAAATTTGTTTCCAAATCTTTAATTTTTCTAATATTCGAGAGCAAATTTTAATAATCTGTTGTTTATATTATATGAGATTTACCCTAGTTTGAAGGATCAGTGGAGACAATTTTTTTCTTACCACTGACTACTTTCATTTTAAAGTTTATTGCTGGTATTTTTTTTTGTCTGACAGTTTTGTGTACCTTATTAATTTTAAAATATTGACATATTTTGCCAAATTCTAGATTAATTGCTCTCCATTTTTAGTGTTCTCAGTTGTTTGCCAGAAATCTCCATTTTACTACCAATTTTGATAATTACACAAGTTTGATTATTTTTGTCATGCTTTAGGTATATTTAATGGTAATGCTCAGGATGGGTTTTTAGTCATTAGTTTATAATAATGCATGAAACGTCAGTGGTCTAAGGTAAAGGCTTAACATTATCCTGAAAATATAGGATACTCATGCATCATACTAAGTAATACTGTCTTTTTAAAACATTGTATTCTGTTTTGTTGCTTTGGAAAATAGGGTACTTACAAATTTCATTTAACTTTTCCTAATTTTATTTTATTTTATTTTTTTAAACTAGAAATTTTAGTTTACTTTCATTTGGAGAAGAAGCTGAGGAAGAAGAGGAAGAAGTAAATCGAGTCAGTCAGGTAATCGCGAATTAAACCTCTTTTCTGAGTTATCTCTCCTGCTGTACTGAACACCATGTTTCACATGGTACACATCCAGTAATGTTCATTGAGTTGATTTGTGTGATGGTTTGCAGTTAGTAATATTTGCAACTTCTGAGATATTTGCTCTCAAAATTATCTAGAATTTCTGTAAATAATTTATTAATTTTGTTAAATATAAAAATTATTTTTAAAATATGGCATTTTTCTGTTACTTAGAAATATAATTTTTTGAGTAGTTGAACTTACTCAGATCTTAATTGCTATTTGTTTAATTGATTTGCTAGATGATAATTATGATTATTTTTGTCATTATTATTAATATAGACTAAAACCCTTATATTCATCTAAATGTTATTTATATATATTTTGTTTCATTTCTTCTCATTATAACCTTTGAGATGGATGTTATTATTCTTATTCTACCTGTGAAAAAATTCAAATATAGATAAGTTACAATTTGCTCAAAGTCACATAGCTAGTAAGCAGCTATAACTGGGAACTGAACTCAAATACATGGCCTCATAGACTTAGACCAAAAAGTGTGGTTTTCCCCTTTTCACTTTCATCACAATACTCAGTACAGAAACACAGTGTCATGTCATTGTTTAGAGCAGTGATTCTGGTATGTATCATCATCTAAGACGATCATCTTCAAGGATTTTTATTCCCAAGGTTCTAATATGTCTTTTTTTTCTTGAAATTTAGTGAACACTGAAACCCAGAGGATTAGATTCAGTCTTTGTTGTGATAATTAAAGCAATAACCATCCTTATCTTAGTTGTTTAATACAGTCATCTATTTCTCTTTTTTAAATTTTATTTAATATATACAAATTTCGTATATTTCGTATATGTAGATTTCAGAACATAGTGATATTTCCTACCCTACAATTCCTCCCGCCCAAACTCCCACCCATCCTCCTTCATCCCTTGCTTTATTCTTAATATTTACAATGATCTACTTTCATTTTAATTTATAGCCATAAGATTATCCCTACCCTAAAAAATTCAACAAAAAGTAAGAAGAAGAAAATACTGCGTCTCAACAGTAAAGACAAGGGCTTTAAACAATCATAGAATTTCCAAATGTCAATTTCACTCCTATACATTACATTTTTGATGCTCTATTAGTTACCACAGATCAGGGAAAACATATTGTGGGGAGCAATAGTAGCCAACCCGGGAAGAACCAGCAGCAAACCCGGGGAGGGCCGAGCAGACGAAAGAACAGCGCAGGGTCCTGTGTCGTTCCTCCACGAAGAGGGGGAGCGACATAATGGTGCCGTGACTCGGATAGGAAACTTAGGACGGATATGAAACTTAGGAGGGAAGAAACGGGAAGAACAGGGAAAATATCGGAGAGAGAAACTAGCAAACAGCCTAGGGAAAATATTGGAGAGAGAGACTAGCAAACAGCCTAGGGAAAAGCCGGACGAAAAGGGTGCCGGAAGAAGCTATTGAAAGCCTAGGCATAGACTCAGATACGGACTATGGGGGGAAGCTGGGAGAAATCTCTAAGGTCGAAAGCGAAAGTGAAAGCTAGAACAAACAGACTCGGACGCGGACTGTGGGGAGAGGCCAGGAGAAATGAGGGAGGAATATCGTTGGAGGAAAGTTTGGGGAAACATACCGGGTAGAGAAAAGTGTTAGGGAAATTGAAGCCGCGGGGGGCAGGCCAAGGCGGAAACGGAAGCCACTTTGGGGTTCTCAAGTTAGCCCGGGAATGGGGGGCGAAAAGTTGAAACCAGAAGCTGAAACGTAAGCTAGATTGGGATCCGTCTGATTAGCCCGGGGAGCAAAGGACGGGAAGCCAGATCGTGGGGCGGAGACGTATGCTGGGTTGAATTCGCCAGGCTAGCCCGGGGAACTTAGATTGAATGCTAGTGGCGGACACGTAAGCTACGCTGTGTTACTCGCGGAAGCCGCCGCGTGCAGAGAGAGCACGGGGCGTGAATAGATAGGGAACGGGGCTGGCGCGAGGCCGTGGTGCAGACGCGAAGGGCGTGGAGACCGCGGAGCGCGCGAAGCCAAGCCGCGCAAAGCCGGGAAGCTGCGCAGATGAAAGAGGCGCGGGCTGAAGCGGCTCAGCCGGGAGGCCGCCGAGAAGTAGCCTCGGGGCGGGCAGCGGGAAGCTGCGGGGATAAGAGAAACAGAAGTTTGGAAGTGGAGTGAGAGAAATGGGAATGTTGGCAGACAGAAGTAAAATGGGAGAAATAGGAATGCCCAGAGATAGAGAAATAGAGAAATAGAAAGGCCTCCCTACAATACAATTAGAAGGCTTGGATTCGGTCTGCCCGATTAGTGAGGCGATGAGCACCTGGGCGGCTAGCAGCTTATGCGCCGCAGGTCACCGAAGACAGGCACGAATTAACATCAGTAAGGCCTCCCCACAAAAAGGCAATGAGAAGGCTTGGATTCGGTTTGCCTGATAGGGCTTGTAAGCCCCTGCAGGCTCGACCAGAGCATGCGCTGCAGGGCACCGAACACAGGCACGCATCAGCGCCTAAAAACCTCCTCACAACATGGCGAAGAGAGGACCCGGATTCGGTTTGCCTGATTGATAGGACTTGTAAGAGCCTGTGGCAACTCTAGCAAGTAGAGCAGGTGTGTGCCGCGGGACACCGAAGACAGGCGCGTATCAACGCCAAAAAATAAAAAGAAAGGGGGATCTGTGGGGAGCAACCGGACTAGACTGAGTTACTGGAATTAAGACTTATTCTATGCATCTGCTCTCCCACAATATGGCGCTGGGAGAGAAGTAAGCAGCTTCCGCACAGCTGCTTCCAGTTCAACCAATAAACTGTAGGACTTGCTCCTGATTGGAGAGCAGCATACTCGGCGTGTGGGCAGCCGAGTTAGGATTGGCGGAGGAGGACTATAAAGGAGGAGAGAGACGGCATGCACCAGGAACATCTATGGGGAACATCTAAGGGAACCCGTGCAGCCCCCGAGAAAGCCGGCCGGCGGTGTGCCGCTCCCCTGCGGAAGTGGGGAATGTGGCCAGGGGGAACTGCCCTTCCACGGAGGTGGAAGGGATAGTAGCCAACCCGGGAAGAACCAGCAGCAAACCCGGGGAGGGCCGAGCAGACGAAAGAACAGCGCAGGGTCCTGTGTCGTTCCTCCACGAAGAGGGGGAGCGACAACATATGGTATTTGTCTTTTTGGGACTGACTTATTTCATTAAGCCTTATGGCTTCTAGTTGCAGCTATTTTGTTACAAAAGACAGGATTCCATTCTTTTTTAGTGATGAGTAGTATTCCAAAGTATATATTGAGCATAATTTCTTTATCCAGTCATTAATTGATGGACATGTGGGTTGATTTCATATCTTAGTTATTGTGAATTGAGCTGCAATAAACATGAGAGTACAGATCATTTTTTCATATGCTGATTTCATTTCATTCAGGTAAAGTGCCAGGAATGGGATTGTTGGGTCATATGGTATGGTATGACTGTTTAGTATATCTATTTTCAACTTTCTGAGGTATGTCCATACCATCTTCCACAATGGCTGTACTAGTTTATATTCCCACCAAAAGTGGATTAGGTACCTTTTGCCTTACATCCTCACCAGCATTTATTGTTCATTGATCTCTGTAGGAGAGCCTTTCTCACTGGGGTGAGGTGAAACCTAATTGTGATGGTTAGTGATCCTGAGCACTTTTTCGGGTTTCTGTTGGCTGTTTGATTTTCCTCTCTTGAAAAATACCTGTTCAAGTCCTTTGCCTATTTCTTTACTGCATTGTTAGTTTTGTTGTTGTTGAGTTTCTTGAGCTCTTCATAGATTCTGGATATTAATCCTTTATCAGTTTCATAGTTTGCAAATATTTTCTCCTGTATTGTCAGTTGTCTCTTTTCTTGGCTGAGTGTTTCTTTTGCAGTGGAGAAGCTTGTCATTTGTCATTTGGCTGGGGTCTTTTCCAAGCAGTCTTTGCCTATGCCTATGACTTCCAGAATTTCCCTATTGTTCTCTTCTAGTAATTTGATGATATTGGGTCATAGATTTATATCCTTGATCCATTTTGAGTTGATTTTTGTATAAGGTGTAAGGTAGGGGTCTTGTTTCATACTTCTGCATATGGAGATCCAGTTTGCCCAGCACCATTTGTTGAAGAGACTGGCCTTGCTCCAGGGATTGATTTTAGCTCCTTTGTCAAAGATGAGTTGGTTGCAGATGCATGGATTGATTTCTGGCATTTCTATTCCATTCCATTGGTCTATCCATCTGTTTTTGTACCAGACTGTTTTGATTATAACTGTCCTGTAGTATCTCTTGAAATCTGGCATTGTGATGCCTCTAGCTTTGTTTTTGTGGAATAAGATTGCTTTAGCTATTCAAGGTCTCTTGTGTTTCCCTATGAGTTTCAGCATCATTTTTCTATATCTGAGAAGAATGTCATTGGTATTTTGCTGGGGATCACATTGAATTTGTAAGTTGCTTTCTGTAGTAAGGACATATTGATGATATTAATTCTTCAACAAACATGGAATTTTTTGTGTCTTCTATCTGTTTACTGTTTTGTAATTTTCATTGTAGAGATCTTGCACCTCTTTGGTTAAATGCATTCCAAGGTGTTTAATTTTTTCTGTGGGCATTTCTGAGGAACATCTGAACAGCCCCTGAGAGAACCAGCCGGCGGCGTGCCGCTCCTCCGCGGAGTGGGGGGCGGGGGACGGCAGCTAACCCTGGACGGCGTCATTCCTCCGTGAGTGAGGGAACGGCAGCTAACCCGGGAAGGGCCGGGCAAAGAGAACAGCGCAGGGTCCAGTGTCATTCCTCCACGAATGGGGGAGCGACATAATGGTGCCGTGACTCGGATATGAAACCTAGGAGGGAAGAAGCGGGAAAATACTGGAGAGAGATTAGGGAGAGCCTAGGGAAAAGCCGGACGGAAAAAGTGCCAGAATAAGCTAGTGAAAGCCTAGGCATAGACTCAGAGACAGACTGCGGGGAGAAGCTAGGAGAAATCTAAGAT